GTGGTGTTTCTATTATGAATGCAGAGGATCCATACACCGTTAATGACTCACTTGCTAGTTTAGCTTGTAATCCTGATGGCCCAGGTTTAGAGGTCTCAGTTTTGGAGGATCCGGGTAAGGACAGTTTAGGTTTTGGCAGGTTGACTTTGGGGTTGAAGCGTGCTGCCCACTCAAATTTTGAAGAGCTGGCGGTTTTGGCCTGCTCCTTATCGCGGGTACTACGGCGTGGGGAGGGGCTTGAGGCTGAGCGAGAGCGTCGTGCCTTGGTCTGATCTTTTCCCTGTTTGACTCGGGCACCCTGAGTGGTGGTGCTATTTGTGCCTGTGGTGGAGGAAGAGGAAGAGGTGGATGCAGAGGAGGAGGAGTCCGTCACGTTGCTACACCCAGCTTTGGCTGAGGCGGCCGATTTAGACGCCAGCTTGGTGGGTTTTGCAGTTCTGCCCTCGGTACGATTGGGGAGGGACCCAGCGGTGCTACTTAGACCGGGGAGAGAGTCCGATTTCTTCCGTTTCTGGATTGGTGAGGCCCCAGCGGCCCCGCTCTTCTTGCTCTGACCTCGACCTGACGATGCAGGTGGTTCTGAAGCAAGTGATCTCTTCTTGGACTTGGCTGCGCCTTTCTTGGTCTCTGAGGTATTGTCTCTGGGTGGTGGGAGCGATTTGGGTTTCTTGGCAGGGGTCGGTCCGAAGGTACTAATTTGGTCAGGAGCTTCACTTCTCTTCAGCCCTCTGGTGCCTTCACTCTTTGACTGGTGGACTGGTCGCTCTTGTTCTGATGTCCCTGCAGCTTCTGGCTCGTCTTGCAACACGAATGAAGCCACGGAGAGAGTAAGACCGCTTCTGCCAGGGAGCAAGAGGGACAGCAAAACACCATCTCAGAAAATTCCTCAAACTGTGAAAAGTGGTGAATTACAGTGCCACATTCATTGTACTCATTCAGATTTAGAACAAAACCCAAAAAAGGTGTACAATACTGTATTTTCTTCTTCATTATGAATTTTACTTAATCAAATTAAGTGGATATTATTGGATAAAGTACAAACCCACAAACACGCACACACAATAAGCACCAAGTAGAGAGGAGGGGTACCTTCTTGAGCTGTGCCCTCTGGACTGGCCAGTGGCTGAGCTGGCTGTGGCTTTGGAAGCCTTAGAATTAGGTCTTCTACTTTCAGGTGGGGAATTTGCTTTATGTTTTACCTGCTCTGACTGCAACCTGTAAGGTTGGAAATTAAAGAGCAAGTGACAGTGTGGGTTTCCGTAATCAAGTCACATAAAAGAGAGACTTGATCAATCCCCAAATCATTTCGGCTGACTGCATCTGCATATCCTCTGATCATTAACATCTCTGGAGTAGCAAGAAACACAGCTAAAGCAGAGTTAATCACCATTTGACTATGATAAAATAACGCATGATAAGCTTCCCCTTTGATCAAGAGGCCAATGTAATCATGCTGCATTAAATTACAATTTCAAGTAACTACAGACATATACCACCCGTGAATTAATACCCATTTGTTGAAAGGCTCAACTAACGTTCCCCACAAGCCATGATTAGTGCCTTTTACTTGGGATTGAGATTTTACCTAAAACTGGACATGTGTACAGGTACACTCACCTTCCCGTGACTGTATGGTCTTGTGGCTGGGCCGCAGCAGTGTTCCTCTGTGAACGGCGCAGTGACCCCCCTGGATTGGAATTAGGCCGGTTGGACATTGGCACCTCTCTCCTGAAGGGACATACCCTTTCTAGACACTACCATTCACTGCAATAAAAGATACAAACAACATAAGAATCCTGAACAAACGCAATGGCAAGCCTTATACCTATGCTCTCCTAGATCCACTGGGTTGTCCGTGGTTTAAAATAAGTTGCTGTGCCGAAGGTGACTGATGAAGCTCACTTCTCTAGCCCATTTCAGATGATCGGGGCATGAATCTCATGAAGTTTAAGTTTGTACATCTCCATACTTACCATACAAACTCCAATCACAAAAGAACTGACCGATCCTATCACTACCATTCGTGTAGTGGCAAAAACAGGCTGCCAGAAAGATGATGACCAAGGAACCAGACAACTCAAAATTGATATAATCGTTAGCTGTGGGAGAAGACTCAAATGATTTGTTTTTATAATCAAATATATTTCTTAGTAGTATGCTTCATTCTAAAAACAAAAAAAAAAAAAAAAAGAGTAAGCTCCACACACATCTCTAAATATTTATCACCACAAAATTGATACTTATGTGAACCACTTACATTAACCCACCAAATGAATAAACATTAACTCTGTCTATCAATTAATATAAAATTGAATATAAATTAAGACAGCATTTAAAAGAGAAGTTCAGACAACAATTGTCTCACCCTGTATCATGAGTACAGATTGGCCTATACTGTAAAGCTATCTTACTAACCCCAAGTTTGACAAGGACAACTGATATCAATGCATTCAAAATTAAAGCATTATCATAATCACTTTAAAATATTAATACAACACCCCAAGACTCCTCTGAATAATAATGAGCAAGGTCACAGAAAAATCTAAATAAACCTACCATTGGGCTGACTGCGAGTCAAACATACCACATAAAAAGAGAATTAAGTTTCAAAGAGTCAGACTCTTAATACAAAACTATTGCTATACCTGACCAAAAGAGTTTGCTGTTGGGGTAGGTTGTACTAATCATTTTTGTCAGAATATCAAAGAAAGCGTCTTTTAAATATGAAGAAGTGTAATTTATCTGTAATTCTCATGAGTTAATGACATGAGGGAACTGATACACAAAACTTCTGAATCACAACCTGAATTGTTTTTGCCATCTAGAAAACAAAGATTGGCAATTTACCAATTTAGTTAAGAGTTTAAATCATGATATCATTGATCATAAAAATACGCCACACTTGGCAAGCTCACAGGGCCATTTTAGGCCTGCACTGACAGTGCATCCTCGTCTTTGTTTATTCGTCCATTCTGACAACTGCTGCACCACAGTCGCGTATAATGTGATTAGTTGAGCATATAAGACAAATAATCGGCAGGTTTAAAAACTCGCCGGGACAAAGTTCCTATTACTACACCACTAAACAAGAACGTCAGTGTCCAATTTTTATACACATGATTTACAGAGGCCTATATTTCTGACGTAGTTCTCTACTACCAGCGACTAGCATGTTTAGCCACACATATCCTAGCAGGTCCCATACATTTTGACAGTAGCTTAGGCGCATACGTATCCACACAAAAAACTCCCACCTAACAATAGGGAATCTTCTAACCGCTGGATATTGAACAGGATGAATAAAAAACGCTAAAAGGCTAGTAACCACATACCAGAGGTTCGTTGTTGAAGTTACGTTGGCTAACGCAGCAGTGGTTACATGGAAATGCGTAGTTGGCGTACCGGTGTGTTAACCTATTTAGAGTTAGCTCCCTAACTAAACGCGCTGTCCAATCCTAACTGCTAACGTTACCTTGTTTGCACCTTGTTGTGGTATTAAAGGGAAAGGCCAAGAACAGTCCCTTAAATGGCAAATACTGATTACGTTCACCTGAGATTAGCTAACATTACACATCGAAAATGGCAGCATCGGCTGGACCGTCTTTCGAAAGCGGTTTAATGTAATATAGCTAGCAGGCTACCAGTAAACCAACGTAAGCTAACTTGGTATTCTGACTGCCATGACACACTGGTCTGTGTCTGGCTGACGATCAAGTTTAAAGGAAAAAAATATACACGTCTCAAACGCAAGTTAGCTCACCTTCTGTACCGTTTGATGGGGTGATTATATGAATATAACACAACTGTCAGGACGACAGGTAACCAGGAAGATCCAGTATCACTCTCTTAGCAACTGTCAATGCGATTGTGAGTTAGTTCGCTGGCTCTGGGGATCACTAATGTTTTCCAAGCTCACTTAAGGCCAATGCCTGCCTCTCACTACAGGCTAGCGTTTAGCTAACGTTAATGTTAGCCAGGCAGAAAAACACGTTGACTACTTACAAGCGACGTGTCAACAAAGTACATAATTAATATTTAGACTTTGGTCAAAAGGGGTCGAACAATGTCAAGTACCTTATTTAATAAAGCATCTTTATAAGTACCGAGGCTAATTATTAGCAAGCTAATGCTAGCTTAGCCAAATAAGATAACGAACGTTTCATCATTGACGGTTCACTCGCAAACACTGACAAAAATAAACAGTTGACCATTAGCTAGACACGCTATTGTTACTGCTTGGTATTAGTTAAGCTAGCTATACCGTTGATAATAAACCACTGACCTTATCAATACCGAATTAGCTACTGCAGAGCAGTCACGTAGCTGACGTTAAACGTTGTCAAACCAAACAAGAGCGTTATTACCAGCTAACCTTGGCATGCAAGCTAATTAATATTAGCAAGCCTTGTTGTCGCTGGCTAACGCATTGCCAGCTCGACAGGATGGTAATGGGATTTATGTGACAAACAACAGCTCCGTTACAACTCACGATTTCAGTCTTTTGGGAACAATTTTGTCAAGTTTTGTTGAAATTTTACAAGTTGTCTAGCTAGCAGCTAGCACGTTAACGCTAGCTAGCAAAAAGAAATGGCCTCTGATACCTTTTAGACACAAAAAACAGGAAAGCAGGAACGGGACTCGAGATATTTTCGCAACACTGACTCATAATTCCTCCGATGTATTTCGATATTGAATAGTCTCGAAGGTCCAAGAGACTGTTGGCTGAGATGTCACTGAAAATTTCTACCTTTTGTATAATGTTGTTACCTATTTGTTCCAGTGTTGTAGTTGTAACAGACAGTGCACCAGCTCCTCTTTTCTCTCTCTACCCCTTCTAGTTTCACATCAGCTGAGGGACCTACAACTGCAATATACATCCGCGTGATTCATCCGCTCAGGGACTAGTTACTTCTGATTTTTAGCTTTTGGCATTTGCTTTTATTTTTATTTTTACCAACGATGCTGCAGCGAGCACTGTCTGTATTGACCTATATATGTAGCTTTAACTATATGCTCTTAAGTCGAAACAGATGGAGCTATATTTCTCGTTTTTTAAAAGATAATCACTGCAACACTGAAGTCACTGGGAACATTAGCTTGTCACAAACACAAAGTATCAGTCCGCTGGGTCGTGCCCCCCCTCATAAACATACATAAAACAATTATCTCATTTATTTGATGTCCTGCATTACTTTTTGTGCATCACCTCACATAAATGTAACATAACATCCATCAAACAGTTTCCTCTAAATTTTGCGTAAATACTGTTTATTTCAGTTTCTTTTCGGTTGTCATGGTTACAATAAAATTCTGCGTCCAAAATGGCGTCCTTACTCGAAGAGCATCTATTTGAAATCAGGGGGCAGGGTCCACCTCCTACAAAAGATTATTTCCAACTTGTTATTACCAAAAATGAGGTAGAGTATTTGTATGAGTTACTAATTATGAAGCAGAGTCTCGAAGAATAACTTTGTAAAAAAAAAAAACTGTTGATAAAACCACTGTGCATAATGTAACTGAAGTTAGCTTAATTTACTCCTAGCTAAATATAATTAACTTAATACCTTACTGGGATAATATTACATATTTTGTAGGTTGCTTTCTGGTTGAATATGGTCTGGCTGTACCATGCAGTCAGAGTGCAAAATTAGCACCAGCCACATGCTGGTAAAATGTGCAAATTAAGAAGACATATGGCTGGGAGGGTTAGTTGACTCACCAGCCAAAAATCTAGTCTGAGTGGCTGGTTCACTAACCATTTCGCTGGTAGACAAAACAGCTAATTTTACACCCTGCATGCAGTATAACTTTTACACCTCAAGTTGAATTGAATGACAAGGTAAATAAATTGATGTCATAATAATATAGTAACCTACATGAGTTGCTAAATGAATAGGCATGCATAATAAATGTTGCAGTAGGTTAAAATCATCATGCCTCAGGTGATTTGTCATTCTTCACTCTGCACTTCTTCTAACTTTAGGTAATATGGACATCATGGAAGATTTCTGTGCGAGTCGAATGTCGGGGCGCTGCACCCAAAGAGCTGAAGGCATCTCATGAAGATTTCCTACATCAGAAAATGCTACAGCGTAAGGTTTCTTCATAAGCATAGAAACCGTATTACTGCCCAGTAGCATTGCACTATGTCAGTGACAAGGACACTGTTTTTTCATTTAATTTTGTTTGGCAAAAGGTTACTGTACCTTGTTTGAACTAAGCAATTTGCTTTAACGGAAGTCTATCATTTGACAGAGAATGCTTTAGGTTTTCAAGTAGTTGACATCCAGTGTGTGCTGTACTCCTCATCTGTAGAAGAAGTTGGTGCTGTTTTTGGGGAGAGGATCCTGGAATACACAATATCACTTTGTCAAGGAAAGTTTGATTACCTGGAGCGCTTACCTGATGATATTTTGCTCAGAATCCTGTCCTACCTAGAGCTGAAAAATACAACACTGCTTGCACAGGCTTCACAAAGATTTAGAAAGGTGAGTTCAGTATTGTCTATATTAGGGGACACAGAAATGGTGTTAGTTTCTATTTTGTTCTCTCTCTCTGGTATGTACAGTTGTGCTCATGTGTATTTGTACACTGACAACCACACATGTAAATCTGCATTGTGTTTTGTCGTCTTGGGCTCTGATTGGACTTTACCAGCTCTGCAATTCTGAGAAGTTTTGGGAGCACACTGTAAGGAATCGCTGTACTGAGTTTACCAGCGACATGGAGGGCATAGCAAATTTCATAGGCTGGAGGACAACCTTCTTTACTTTTTTCCACACCAGTGGCAGCAATGAGCAGCAGTGAAGCAACTGGAAAGTTTGATTGCCGTTCTCAAACAACTGCAATACAAATGCTATCACAGTGAATGGGTAGCCAGTATTCATTTTGCCCTTTGTGAAATAAAAGCCAGTGTTTTCAGTGAGGTTTTGTGAGAGTTTTTTAAGTTTTAAATGTAGTATTGAGATGTTATCTACAAGAAAAATGTATATTCCATTAGTTTTTGTGTCACAAAGTAAGTGTCACATTTTCTTCAAAACAAATCAGTATTTTTGTGTTGCTACTTTCTTGTTACACTTTGAATGGCAACATTTACCACCAGTATTCAGTGGATAGATACTTGCAAGTTATACAAGAGTTTACATTGTGTAATATTGCTAGTAAATTAAATTAGCATACTGTATAATGCAGTGTTTAGTGTCCCATAGTGTTTCCTGAATGATAAATTGCTAAAACATGATCTAAAAAGAATTTAAATGTACAACTGGAGAACTTATCAAGGTAACTGGTAAATTTCAACATAAACTTCCTGTTTACATTTGCCAGTGAACTGTTCTTGCGCCCTCTGCTGAAGGCTCACAGCACTAAACGCTGTGTCTACTTACATCCAGCCTGGCTTTGTAGATGGTCTGTGTGCTGTGTTCACTTGTGCAGCCAGCAGAGGGAGCACAATGGCAAAAAAAAAATAGAGTCAGATGATATGGTAGGAGGAGGAGGATCAAGCAAATAAACCCTTTGGGTAGCGTGTGCAAAACAAGTGTTGTAATTCTGGTTACCATATCCAGGCCTAAAGAGTAAAACACACGTATTCTGGATTGAAACCTTGTACAAATACCACTGTACGGGCAACTGTCACACCGATCCTACCTCACCTGAAACCTGTACAAGCAAGCTAACAAAGGTATGCACTGTTTTTTTTTTTCTAACAGGTACCTTAGTGGATCAGAGACAATATAAGGTATAATAAATGTTAACAGCAGCTACATACTAACATAATGTTCTTGTTTGTTATTGTCACAAAAAGGATGACAAACAAACATAAGTCATTACATTATCCCGTATTAAGAGACAAGAGGAATATGTTGTTAAACAGCACATGTTAAAATACATCGTCATTTTCCATAAACAAAACTCCCCTCAATATTAAATAATCTTCTGCCCAGATGATAGCTGGGTGTTGGAATGATCTCACATGACCGCATACAGCCCTGACTGGTAGGTACTATGGCCTATTATTAGCCTCTGAACACTGGATACCGCCTTCTCAGCTGAGTCTGGTCTAGGAGGAAAAATATTCATTACGTAACAATAAAGGATCTGTCTCCCGACCCACTTCCTGAATACCACAGCAGCAACTAGGCCCCAAACTAAGGCAGAGCGGAAGCCTCATCCATTTGTTTGCTGGAGCAGTGTAAAGCAGTGCCGGTTGTTTTCTGCTTATCCCTTGCCTCCACACAGTCACCACCCCTCCTTCTCAGCTCTTCTTTGTGGGTCAGTGATGCAGCGGGAGTGACGCAGCAGTGGCAGCAGCCTCCAGAAGGCAACTATACACAGCAGGAACAGGAAACTCTGCCAGAACCATGGTCCACAGGCAACATCCAGACAGCAGTGAAGAGGGAAGATGGTAAAGTCCTAGTCTAGGCCAAAGGGAGAACGGGAGCCGTGTTGTCACTCTCCTTTCCTCCTCCTAAACAAACACCAGAGAGGCTTCCACAGCGACAGAGACAGGCCCAGCAAGACCTTCCACACAGAATCATTTTGGTAGGCGACTCAAAGTATGAATGCTTGTTAAGGCAGCAACGTTAAGTGCTACCAGGGATGAGTGTCTTTGTATGCTAAGAGTGTGAATGCTTTGAGAATGAGGATGAGGCCTACTCAGCCTTGTACTGCCTTCCGTGCCTCCCTGCTGATCAGAGTCTCTACAGGCCGCAGCTGAGCTTACTGAGCATCAGAGGCCTGTAAACGTCCTGTGGTTTTGAACGCATCCTAGCTGTGATATCAAGTGTGGGTGACAAAGTGCTGCTTACAAAATACTTCATATGATCCATGTAGAGTAACATGTGAGCGCTTTAAGTAAGGGCAGTGAAATTTTTGCTCTTGCAGTTTTGATTGCAATTTAGCTTGAGCTCTATTTTGAATGTGAATTTATTAAAAGGAACAGTTTCCCAATATTTAATGAACATAAATAATGGTTCCCAACCCTGTAAACTCCAAAGCCAGTCACCCCGATTATGGAAAAGCAATTAAAAATGGTACAATGTTTAAAATGGTCCACTATGGTACAATGTTTTGGAGTAAATGATTAAAAAGCATTAATTTTATTGGCTTTCCACTGATGCATTTCAGCCTACATGCATTCTTAAAGATACAACGTACATATGGTACATACCAATTAGTGATTGTTTTATATTAGTGTGAGGAAGGACACAAACTAAAAGTGCTCCAAGGAAAAACATTATGTATATTCCCTCTAAATGCCCCTGATCTTCCTGGTCTGGATCTAAGACGCTGGCTCAGAGAAAACCCAAAATATACTGCAGTCAACAAAACAACCTCCAACCTTTATCTTTAAATATAATGACAATGTTGACTTATGACTTACTTGTTTATTTGGCGTCTACTAATGTGTGTCTTTGTTGTGAATTTAAGAACTAGAGTATATTTGACTGACAGGAGTCCCACTTCAACTCCAGCAGGGCTCTCCCGTAGTTTCCCAAATTTAGATGATAGAGGACATGCACTGAAGCCACTTGTGCCTCATCACAGTTATCTCTTTAAGGTTTAGCAACTTGACAAACTGGTATACTGGCTGCTCCCCAGGCTAATGCAGGGGTCTTTAAGTAAGCAGGTCTTGCTATCAGAACCAAAAATAGAAGACTGAGCCTGTGGTTAATTGTATATTCATGAAACCAATCTAATGTGATGTGCCCATCACAGAAAAGGGAACAGGACAATGCAGCAGCTGAGATTCAGGGTGATCACTGAGTGTATTTTAAAGACGAAACACTCCATGAATAGCACATTTCCTTCCTTCAGGGCAATGAGTGAGTGCACACATAATGACATGGCACCTGCTACTTCGTCTTTTGAAGTCAAAAGTACATAAAAATGAAGTGGCTTTGAAACTGGTTTAAAGTGGGTCTCGGCCAGCATGAGGAAAAGACCTGCAGTCAGTCATATGACTACACTCAGTTGTGTAAATAAAAGAGTGGCTTCCGTCCTCAGAGGCTAGCGAGAGGCTCACAGTGCCATGTCGGGTTCAGCTTCCTCCCCTCCCCCCCGTCTGCAGTGCTGACGCATCTGCTGCTTTTGCATCAATCAGCACCCTCTACATAGGTATACCGAGAGTCCTCGCTGATCGCAGGACTCTCTTTTTGCCCTCAGCCTTGCATCCTGCACCCTCGCTGCAATTGTGAGAAAAAGCATCGATAAACATCTGTCCTGTGACTGCTGTGACACAGAATAGGACAGTAGTCACTGCCATCTTCTCTCGGGTTCTGCATTACCTAACCACAGTGACTGCGTAAGCGCGGATGAAGGGCTTTAGTGTAATATATTGCTGCACAGACAGAGTCTGTGTGCACAAGCATGAAACAGATGGTGTAGCGTTATGCATTCAAGGTGCATGTTGTTTCTATGACGGCTACCGATAATTTTGTTTCTTGCAAAAGATAATTTCCCTTTTGGTCAACATCGATGCATCGAGATCTCACCAGTGTGGTGCTGTGGAGGTTTAATACAGCATTTGTTGTACTCCTCACTCAACGCAGCAATGCAGCTGAGCGCTTTCTCTTGCTGTAGCATCGAATACAGAGCTGGGTGTGATGTAGCACCCAGCATCTCTCCGCTCTCCCTACAGCCCTCTGCCATGCTTAATAAAAGTTGCCGTTTCCTGCTCAGTGGCTCCAGAACGAACGCTTCAGTTGCCCAGCTAGCACAGAGGCAGACCCATACTCCGGTTTAGATGTATAAACTGTGAGTTACTCCTATAGCTGTGGTAGGACAGAAGAGGGACAGTTAGAGGAGGGCAGGGCAGATCTAGCCCAGGACCTGGGCTGCATGGATAGAGGCGAAGGACGTTGGAGCTGGAGTCATCTGCACACAGAGAGGGAGGGAGAGGAAGAAAGACGTCAGAAAAAGCTCTGCTTCTGACACCACCACTGTTCAGCGACCATCATAGATAAAAAAAAAAAAACTACTTGCTCTCACGAAACTGTTTTTCGTGTATAGTTGGCTGTAGAAAAGGGATACTGCATGACACTGTTTCCTGTTCGCCGTGCATCATTTTCTCAGATTTACTAAGGTATGTTTTGCATGGTTTCCCTCAATTTATAACCTGTTTTTTTGCGGAAGTACGCTTTGCAGAGGTGCGTGAAGTGGCTTTTGCTTTGACATTTCGCTCTGACAAGACTGTCTGTATGCTATACTGTCATTTCTTGGTTTGTGGTTTGGTATGTGGGGATTTTTATTTTACAGGTTGAGACATAAAAAATAATATCACATGCGCTTTGAAGGTAAAGTAAGGTTTGGGTGTGGCAAAATCATAAGCACTGAAGACAAATTCAAAATTTCCGCTCAGCATGTGGTGGTAATAAACCACAACAATTGGTATAAATTGTCAAAAATGAAAGTGGTAAAGTACAATAGCAACCTAGAAGAAAATATGAAACTGGTTCTGTGAACGGCACAAACTGAGAAATTAGTATGAAAGCAGTGGCACATCACTTGCTGTTACCACATGAGAAAGTCCTTTGGGTAGCATTTCTGCTGCAGACAAAGACACGCAGACCAATACACAAAGTATATTCAAGCAGACAAAGGCAAACCTCTATGGCTCTGTGGACTGCTGTGTATTGCAGGTTCTCAGAGAGGGCAGGATGTTTGTGGGAGAGAGGGGACCGAATACCCAGACAGCTAATACCATCACTTGCCATCCGGCTGAATCCCAATAAGTGCTGCGCCATAGCATGTTGCCATGACAACGGAGGCCTGTCTGAGAAAGAAGGCAGGAGGCTGGTTGTGTTTTCAGCAGTCTGAGAGGCTGCAAAGAATGGCGGCCATATTGTTTTTGTCATACAAACAGAAAATTGAACATGAGTGGGGGGAAAAACTAAACGTAAAATAACATCACTGATGAATTACCTAAGCCCCTCTAGAGAAACAGAAAAAATACTGTAAATTTATTACCTTAAAAAAATTTCAACAAATTTACAAGTGTTGTGTAATACCCAAGACAAAAATAAGCAAAACAAAATAAGATATCAAATTGAACTGCATGTTAACTTAATACAACTTGAGACCATCTTGACAGTATAATTTGCACAGGCTAAATCTCATTTGGATCAATTCAACTCTTCTTCTTCTGTTTTCCACTAATTAAGCAGGCATAACACATAAGTTTACAACAGAGAGACATATATCCACGTTAGCCCCTGGGTGGCAGTTAGCAAAAGAACGTCATGGTCTCGTGCTAGATTGCACAGTCACTGTATGACTTTTGATGCAGCCATAAATGAAGATGTAAAAAATAATAATAATAATAATGTGAAGTACAACTTCACATTATTACATTACATTATCTTCTCTCTGAGCTTATGTTAGATATTTAGATAACTTCGATGCAGGTGTGACAATTCATCACTAAGCTGAGTGCGTCTTAGCAGGTACAGTCAGGATGCTTCGTGCCAAATGACTCAGTACATGCTCAAACCACACTGACACTGATATGAGTAAGCCACAATTAGAACATCTTGCTGAGTGATACATCCTCTTTCAAAGGGAGAATGAATGAACTTTAACTTCCTTTAAGAGTTCATCTTAGTTTACTTTAAAAATCAAACTAATCCACAAATGCTGCTTTGTCAATATACAAGAGAGATGGCATTCCCTGCCTGACCAGAAATCTTTATCCTAGTGTAAACAGTGCAGCAGTGTGTGTAACAACTGGAAGACTAAGATGTGCATCATCAAGATATAGTATTAAAATATTATTATATTATTATCAAGTCATCTACTTTGAATAGACTAAATAATGTCAATGTTTCTTCTTTTTATAACAGTAATTAAAAACAGTAATTATTGTACATCAACGGCTCTTCTTGTCTGCAGTTTCCCTCATGAGGCAGTAATTAACTGTTCCCTGTAGTTGGAGCTGACAAAAACTGTATGTGAGACAAGCGAAAGGATGCTTCCATTGCCGCCTGACAAACAACTGAAGAAGGGAGTGTATGAGTCATCAGTGTGTAACTGTCTGCATGTCATATTCACATTAGCATAGGACTTGAGAAGAATGGGGCTGACATGACAACTGAACCAGGCCTAGTGCAGAGCTGTGGTAGCGTATTGAATACATTACCACCAAAACTGAATTATAAGTAATAATGGACCAAAACATCTACAACTGAGGGAGTCACGGTATATTTTACCAGATGCGGGCCATGACCTCCCTTGCATTTACGGTACTGCTGTTGTTTTAGAAAGATGAGAGCCTTCTCATGTCTTTGTTCTGGGATTAGTGCAACTTGGGTTGATAATGACAAGAATATTCCATGTATGAAAGAGTTATTCCGCAGGGAAAACCAGCGATGGAAAACAAAGGAAATTATTGGGCAGGCACAAAGTAGTAAAAGTAATTAACAACGTGATAAACTATATCTTTTACTTTTAATCACAACCCTCACAGTACAATTTGAAGTCACTGTTAACGTTTTGACACATAGTATTTCAATATTTCTAAGTAGCTGCATGAAACACTCACCCGACCTACAAAGGCATGTTGACAGTAGTATCAACATGCCACATATTTTCTGAAAGCTGGGATAAGAAACAATGTCTTCCTCAACATAAACCCATTATTCAAAACAATTATTGTCCCACATCTTAGCACTGACAAAAGGTTTACAGCCCGCTGTTACTGAAATATCAAAACCAATTTTATTATAGTTTTCCATCAATGATGTTCCCTACAGTAAAACAATGAGACTGGCTTTTAAATATATCTCATTTAGCCTTTAGATTAAAGTTCTCTTCTACATGAGAGAAACAAGAATAAGGAAAATAAAACAAAATAACGGGACAGACTTATGAGAGTAGTGGAACAATCCTGAATCCGTTGAATAAAAGCGTCCTCAAGAATTAACAATAGATTATCTTTTGATGGTTCCATAGTTTTTCTTAATCTCAGTATGTGACCCATTCATTAAGTTTAAACTTAATTTAATTTTTTTAAATGAAGGTTATGAAGGCTTGAGTCACCAGAACTGTTGACCAGACTGGTGGCACTGGAGCTCATCTGTCAGGACATTACTGCCATCTAGTGTTAGAACACAAGAAGAGCCAGAATCTTTTAAAACAAAATGTACAGACATGTTTTGGATGTCTTCTTAACAATATCAAACAGTCAGAGCCACCATTTTGTAATCATCTAATGTAATTCTATCTTCTCTTCTTTTTTTATTTAGATGACTGTGGTGTCCCCATGTACTCAGAACCTGATGGATAGTTCTCACCCTCAAACTGTGCTTAGCAAGCTCAATGAGCAGCGCTCACAAGGCCTCTTCTGTGATGTTACCATTGTGGTGGAGGATGTTAAGTTTCGGGCCCACAAGAACATCCTGGCAGCGTGCAGCGGGTACTTCAGGAACGCTCTAACAACTTCTGAGACATGGAGCTCTGGCCAAGTGCTGGAGCTGATGGACCTGAAGTCTGAGGTGTTTGCCAGTATCCTCAACTTTATCTACTGCTCAAAGGTGACATCACCTGGTGCAGAGGACACAGGGGGGCTAGTGGCAGCTGGAAAAAGACTTGGAATTCCTTTTTTAGAGAAGCTTGCAGAACAAGACAGGCAGGACGAATGTGGTAAATCCACAGACTGCAGTAAAGCTCCTTTGTCTAAAAAAACAAAGAAGGAAGCTCCCAGGCCTGAGGAGATGGACACTGCCAGAGGGCCACGCATTACTAATGCCTTCTCTATCACTGAAGTGTGTCCTCTTGTTCAAACGAATGGGGAGAGGCAGTCACCAGATGAAGGACAGCTCCCATCAAGTTGCCCGACAACTTCCTGCCTCAACGGGAACAATGAAACAACACAAGCCCTCTCTGAGCACTCATATGCAGTAAGCAAATCTAATGAAGGCAAAGATAGCAGTGAGTGGGACAGCAAGACTGTCTGTAAGCCAGCAATATCACAGCCAAAGCAACTCATTTACAGGAACACAGGCCCACTTAAAAGCGCCACAGGGTGAGAGGCATTTTGGGTAGAAGTGTTCTTCCAACACCAGCTGAACCACAAACAGATAAACCAAATACAATAACCACCACATCAGCTGGTGGTGTTTCTTCACCACCTGTCGCAGTGATGACACCACCTCCGCTTTTTTCAGAGGCAGACAGAGAAAAAAGTATAGACCCAGGGCTTCCTATAGCCACTGACAATGTTCCAATGGAGTTAGGTCCACCAACCCTTTCCCCACACACAGAGGACAGCTTTTCAATCTACGGATGTGAGCACTGTCCAGAGATATTCACAAATAAAGCTCTTCTCACCATTCACTCAGAGGTACATAAAAAGCGTTTCGTCAGTCATTTGTTTTGCAAGTTCTGTCACAGAAAGTTCATACACCTCAAACGGCTGCGCAATCACGAACAGGTCTGTCCCAAAGCTGTAAGGGACCTGCCTAAACTAGATGCAACTGCCATACCAACCAAAGAGGTGGACCTCCATTCAGATGACATACCGAACACGGAGAGCATCATGACACCACTTCCTTCTGCTGACCTCCCCACCTCTTACACCCCAGAGCCTCCTCAAGTGGACCAATCAGAGCCTCCGGATGAGGAGGAGAAGGCAGTGAGGCCGGGTGGCAGCCAGAGGAGATACAACTGCAGTGTGTGTAAACGGGTCTATGTCACCCTATCCAGTCTGAAGAGGCACGAGAATGTACATTCCTGGCAGAGGGCCTATCCCTGTCATTATTGCAATAAAGTGTTTGCTTTGGCAGAGTACCGTACTAAACATGAAATCTGGCACACAGGTGAACGCCGCTATCAGTGCATTTTCTGCCTGGAGACATTCATGACATATTACATCTTAAAGAACCATCAGAAGTCTTTTCACGGCATTGATCCCAGTCTTGCTGTTAAGAAAAAATCCGCATACGGTGGACTGAAAGCCAGTGTTTATCCAATCAAACTCTACAGGCTTCTGCCTATGAAGTTTAGAAAGAGACAATACAAGACGTACAGCCAGACATATTCAGAGAGTGTTGAAAGAGGTGACCAAGCCCCATTAGAAAGCAACTCTCTTAGCCATCCATTTGAAGAAAATGGTCTGATCAGCCATCCTGATACTGTTTCTTTCCCTCTGACATTCATGGCCACAACAAAGATGGTGGCACCTGTCATGCCTCGCGTCTGCTTCGGCAAGCCATGCGACCAAGATATTGACCAAAGTCTGAACAGTGAATTGGAAGCTCAGAGAGGCAAAAGAAAAGAGGCTGAGAATAGAGATTCGCCCATCATTAACTATGACAGTACCTTCTCTTTACAACCCAATACAGAGTCTTCTGCAGGAGGTTACAAAGATGATCCGCCAGTACCAAGTAACTCAGAGCACATCAGTCATAACATGCCTTTCTTAAACTCTTTGAACACTGTTAAAAAGTTAGGTGAGCTATCAGCTTCTGCAAAAAGTGTTGAGGATATGACTAAGGAGATACTTCAGTCAAGCACTGAGAACCTGGTGCGCAATAAGGCGATGGGGGAAAAGACAGAAACATATATTGCTAAACCTGCATGCCCGGGTCCATCTGTGGATGGTGCTTCTATGCCGCTCTGTCAGATAACAGTGAAAATAGGCAATGAAGCCATCATCCGACGCCGAATCAAAGGATCGAAGCTCTTCCCCAGAAAGAAAAGGAGAATCAGAGAACTGTGTGAGGACAGCCCGAGTCAGTGTCCTCCAACAAGGGAAAACTCAGAGAGCCCCAGACTCCGCCTCAGAACAGAAGTTGCTGCCGCAACAGAGCCAGAGACATACGATGATCCTAATGACTGTGACACAGCTGATATGCTTTGGCGTCCCTACTATTCTTACAAAGCCAAAAAGAAAAGGAAGAAGCTGAGATTCAAGCACAGAAATGCTTTGTTTCACCGTTATCCTGAAACATCTGTCGACAGAGCTGCTGCTAGTGAGGCCCACCTCGATAAAAGCAGTTGGCTGGCAGAAGAGAGCATCTCAGGTGGTAGCGGAGAGGTGAAACGCAGTCTTAGCAGGAACTCCAGCCCAAGGGCCACCTACAACTGTGACATATGTGACAGCTCTTTTATCACAGAGACCGGTCTGAAAGCTCATGTTATTGGTTCCCACCCATGTTTCTGCCGGACCTGCGGTAAACAAGGTCCCCCTGGTGAGGTACCTGCCGGTGGTGATTACATCTGCAACAGCTGTATGGAAAATGGTTCCTGCTTTGATAATACACCCCGGAGCCCCAACACAGAGAAGAAATATCGCTGCTCCTTCTGTCCCCAGCGTTTTCTCTACCTTGCCACTAAGAGAAGCCATGAGAAAAAACACCAGGAGACAAATGAGGAGGGATATAATTATGACAACTTCACACCATGTTCTAAATACTCAACACACATGAGTGAAGACAATAAACAAGACACCATCAAATCAGAAGACAGTGACAATCAAGGGGACACACACATAAAAAGTGAAAGGGTGGAAGAAGAACATTTTTCCATTGATAAAATTAAGCCTGAAGTCGAGGAAACAACTGACTTTATGTCTGTGACTACCTACCAAGACATGTCATATTCCAACATTAAAAGTCCATTATCGCCCTGCATCGACCCACTGTTTTCCCTGACCCAGTCAAAGGTGAAACATAAAATAGCAAAAAAACGGCTCAATGCACAGCATTCTATGCATCTCACCCCAAAAAAGCAAGCCCGTGACAGAGACAGCGACAGCAACAAGGATATTTTGATGGGGCCAAGAACAAGCAGTCACAATGAGAAGTCCTATAAACTCTTTAGGAGAACTGACTCTGAAACTAAAGGTACCCACATTTCTATACACAAGCCAGAAAAATGGATGTGCAAAGAGGAGCCATTTTTTAAAGATCTTTGAGGACTGTGGCCAACAACAAGCAAACGAGAACATGACTGAAGCTTGACCTCAAGCCACTGGTTTAGTCAGGAAACGTAGTAATGTTGTAAGCTGAGCTCAATGTTTTGAATGGACAACACTAAACATGATGATCTAATACCAGTGTTTTGGTAATGACTGAGTGATTGTTCACCTTTGTAAAAGATATTTTTTGGATAATATAGGACCTTTTGACACAGACTGTACTTGTACTTGTCCGTTCTCTATGCATAAATGGCAGACTCAGTGACTTGACTGTAACCTCAAGAAAATACATGAATGTTGGTAACATTTCTTTAAACTGTGTGAAATTTCAGAACAGGGGTATGATGTGTTGAAAAACTGAAAAGCTAACCTAGTTTGGTTACAGCTTCACTTTTAAAAATATTTCTGGGGAAAATGATGTGAATTTACAACCGTCACATTTCTTAATCTTCCGTTCAGTTAACTGGCCATGGTGAGTTGCACTTTATAGTTAGACTATGCTAATCTCTTGGTTAAATACTTTGATAATTCAATTTCAATTCTTAGCACCATTGATATAATTCTAATTTATAAATAACACATGGCACCATAGAGATTAATGTTACGACTTTTGTGTGTTTATGTATAAAACATGTAAAACTATTTAAATAAATGTTGCTGATATTGTAAACCATTACATCCTGTCCTTCTTTTAGTTAGAGATACAGTAAATGCTTGATTCTCCATTCACAATTCGATATGCTTTTTTCAGCAGCCGATGCTGAAATTTAGAGAGCAGGGCGGCTGATTGCAGATATATAATGCCGATATCAAAACAAAGAAAAGTCATATATAATTCCATTATTCCATGCAGTTAGAGTACAATCTAATATGCATGGTCATCTTAGCCAGTAATGTTTAGATTTAGATGGAATTTTTATTAGAAAATAAAAATACAAAAATACAAGAACAAAAAAAAATAAAAATAGAAAATATCATTGGGTTATGCTGTAGATTTCAGAACATGACTGGCGTTTAAGGGAGAGTGGGGTACAGTTTCTCAGAAGTGACGTCATTCATCTGCATTATTTTCTACAGTATAAAGGAGTGGAACTGCTGTCATTTAGGATGATATATCTGCTTCATGAGTGCAAGTATCGGCCAATGCTGATTATCTCAAAATATCAGATAATGCCCGATTAATCAGCCAACCAATTAATCTATCGCTAATTCAGAGACCACTAAACAACACTTCATACAGACTGATAAGCACACTTACTGATTCTCTGATACTACTGGTGAGGGAATAGTTACAGAAACCCTAAAAGTCATGCAGTTAAAGTGTGGAGGACTTTTAAGAGGGACATTTTAAAATAGCAATTTGTTACAAAACCTATTCCATAGGAAAAAAATGTCCTAAATATAAAGCCACCTGGTGGTTATCTGCTCCTTCTGGATCTTCAGGGAGACACAGCCCATCTGAGAAGTTAATTCCTTCATTCTTCCACACAAAATGCATCTGTCTTTAGAGTTGGGCCTCAACACACATTTTCCAGATGTTTCTAAATTCCTTGCTTCTTTCTAAGACTAGTCTTATGATGTAACAAACGGATCATAGAGAGAAGGCACTGCTCAACACACTAAGTATGCCAGGGAGGCAAACTTTTCCCCTATAACAGTTCAATACATTCTTTAATGTTGTAAAACACAACAAAATACATTCTTCATCTAATTTAATAAAGGATTTTAAATACAAAGATTTTCCTTATGTAGTCACAAAATGTTGACGGTAAACAAGAGAATTTTGTGACATATTGTGCAGTTTAAAAGCGGTCACATACTTCTGAGTTAATGATTGTTAAGTGTATAATGAACAACAAGGTAAAACATCTAGATTAGATGTTATCAGTACACATGTTGTGAACTAGTGTGTGCTTCATGTTAACAGGAGACTAAGATAATTGACACAGAAATTTGTTATAAAAGTCATAATGCATACCCTGACCTGCCTTTTCAGGCTCCCTGCTACTATCAGCGATGAGGATCAGACCTGTGTTTTCACCCAACAAAAGGCAACATCACCTTGAAAGAAAAGACAAGAACACAGGATGTTAGTCATGTTTTCATTCAAAGCAGATATTGGTATGGGATTTTATTAAAGATGAATACATTATCTTTATAAATTAAAAGTCCTGGAATATTATAGTTGGGAAAACTGTGCAAAATGTCAATAACTGTTTATCACTTACTCAGTTTAACTGATACTTAAGTATACAGGGTTTTCCAATGAAATAATGAAAATTCACACAGTGATTAGAAAGCCAATATAGTGACCTTAGCTATTTTTCAATGAATCACCCGGCTAAAACCGGTAAGACACAACCACAGTCATATTATATACCACTGAGAGCATAACACACAAGCATGTAAGAAACTGCTGTCAAATAAGTTTCAAATGATCGTTTCAGTGGATACTGACTTTGTCAGTAGCATAATGTCATGGGTGTTCTGGTTTATTCTGGTTTGTAGTAATTTGATAAGCACTTTATTATTCTCTGGTTGAAATCAGAATTGGCCTGCTAACAAGAGTGCTAGACAAATAATATACTAGCTGTGAATGTGTATGTTTGAAGACATTTCAACAGGGTCACTTTCCATTTAGAAACAATTTGCGTGGTTTATTTTAGCAATGTTATCCACTGTGAAAACGTTTTAATGAATTCTTCAATCAAATTTAACCACTCCTACAACTTTGTCTCTCAGACATTTGTTTGCTTTTTTCATTAATACCCGGTGCCAGAGTTATATTTGCTTCACACAAGCATGTCATACACGCACAGGGTTAACCTAAATCACTGGTATCCGAGATTAGCTGGCTAACGTTAAGCTAGCTTCACAAGTCAAAGTATCAGCTCGCCGCCAGCATTATCGTTACATAATGAGCCACACTACAGAGAGACCTTAAATCTCCTAAGAAGTCCTAATTGAAGTAACTTACTGGCTAAAACAAGGACTTTTGAGGAAGCTTGGTGTTTTCAAGGCGGCAGTGTGTACGGGACCCGACGTGACGCGGCACAGTGGGACTGGCTTTCCTCCACTCTGCCTGCATTCATAAACGGATATGATAAACGAGCGCTGAATATACCGGAGCAGCGACAACAGTCAGGTCTGACCATGGCGGAAGAGGACGACGCGAGGATCCGTATTTTACAGAGCCTGCGGGGTAAAATATGTAAGTCTGACTGGGGCAGCCGATGTTTTCCGTCCCACACAGGGGGGAGAGAGGTCGGTATAGCAAGCGGGCGACGAGAGGGGAAGCCGGAGGGGCGCGGCGTGCTATCAACAGTCGGCTGTGTGGAGGCAGAAGCAGCCAGTTCATCTGGTCGATGGTTAACGTCAAGTTAGCCTAGCGCGTTAGCAGCAGCTATTAGCTTGTTGTGAATGATTTCATTCATCGAGGAGGGCTCCCTGGCCGTCAGTTAAGCTCCTCCGGCTAACTGGGTGTTATTTTTATACGTATTAGACATGTTAACGTTTTCAAAATGCGGGGCGTCTTGTGTGGACTTGAGCTCCCCTGCAAGCTAAGTTAACGTAGGTTAGGCTAGCTACTACCAGCCGCTTCATCCCGTCGTCACTCACTCATTCAGTTGTAGCGTTACTCACTGCAGACACCTGACAGTCAAGCAACCCAGACAATGTTACATTATTATATCGGCAACAACATGAAGTTTTGAAGTTAGCAAGCAGCATAGTAATGATCACTCACCCTAGAGTTTAATATGTGCTTCACGATATTTTTGTCCAGACACACCTAACGTTAAATATCTACGATAACCCGAGATCGTTATATCTTGGTAAGTCTCTCGTGCCAGTCATTGCACATTGTATCACGGTGGTGTGGTGTGTTGTTTGACGGGTGACGGAGTGACCAACCTGACGACGTGAGTTCAAGTCCTGGTCTCAACCATAGACTGTATATGGTCTCAACACACAGTTTGCTTCATCAGGTGTCAGACTCTCTATGGAGACATTAATCAAGAAACTACATTAATGATTAAAACATCCATGCTTGTTGCAGCAACAACTAATCTATTTTGCAGGCAAATTGCTCCCGTGTAGTTATTCTTACATTAAAATAGGCTAACTTTTTTAATAAGAGTTAAAATTGGAAACATTGGCTTTAAAGTCAAATTCCTAACAAGCCAGTTTCCTCATCCTCATTCAGGGGTTGGGCTGGTCCAGCGGAGTACCTGTTTGTTTGGATTTGTTAGCTGTGTTTTTTTGTCAGCTTATTCAAATTCAAGGTGTGTATGGCTGCTCTCTTCAGAAGTTCCAGCCATTACTATCACTTTGAGATTCAAATTAAACAAATAGTACTGGTTCCCATCATTCACTTTTACTCATTGATAACAGGGTAATACATATGTGGCAGCAAATTTGCTTATTCTCAGTTTTAACACAATTCCATTAGTCTACACCCGCTGCTGTACCATCATCTGTGTCTTGGTGTTTGAAGTAATTGAGTTTTTGTAATTGTTAAGATTAATTTTGCCCCAGTGGCATTGCTTCATCTTCAATGGGTTCAAGCTTCATAAGAAATCAGTTTGAAATAAGACAGTAGGAATGGTGAGTTTATCTTAATGATAATAAAGCTTGTTCTTGTTGTTGTTTTAAATATGTTATCTTGGAAAAACATTTTAAACATTAAACATGCCCTTGAGAAACATTTTATGTTGCGAAAGAAGTTGTAGACCAGCCTAGCTATGTGGCTTAACTGTATGCCTTTACTGTAAGGCGAATATAGGCTACGTTTTAGTATGTAGGGCTGGTATGCATAGGCACACAATAGGACGACAACAGTTTCACTACTATGAATTAATGAGAAAACTGTGTAAGCAGAACAAAATAGAGGAACCATAATGGCATGTAACTCACTTTGCAGTCTTACGAAACTCCAGCCTTCCTCGTTCACACTTTGTCCTTTTGCCTACATCAATGGAGGTGGCATTCTGTGAAGATTTATTCTTACAGAAGCTTTTAGATTGGCCAGTGCAGTTGAATATTTGACCTTGTTTGCATCATTGTCAGAATAAAATCAGGAAGAGGCCAGTTGTTAAAATGACAAAGCAGTCTTCAGCTAAGATAGGTATTATTTAGGCAAAGACTCTGACCTTTAGGGTATGGTTTTCACAAGGTGACGTGCTTCTGTTTTTAGTGGAAATGTTTTTGAAGCAAAGAGATGGCAGTAGGGTTGGCTGACCAAAGTACGCCATATGTGTTTGTGTCTGTGTGCATATGCTTGTGTGCTCTTCCTCCCACCAGGTCACCCCAGTACAAGCTTAGTGACAACTTTGCTGTTTTCACTGGCCATTCCTAAGATTAGACATACACCATTATTAATAGCCTGTTAAAAGCTGATCTCACTGGTGGCTTTTCTTAATTAGGTCTCCACCTGTGCTCAGGGTACCTATCCAAAGCGAGAGGACCAATTTAGACTGCCTCTAATCCACTAGTGTAAATCTGAGTCATTGGGAAGTTATTGATAGTGCTGTGTTTGAGTAACTGCTATTTAGCTGTTCAGGTTTCACCTATCTGGCTTTGATTTGGTCATTGATTATGTATGTGTTGCACAAAACCCCGTGGCATGTAATCTGGGTCTGACTGCGATGTAATGAAAGTGTGTACAAGTGGTGTGTGTGTTTACAAAGGTGTTTGTCATTTGTGAATCAGCGCTGTACTGTCGCCATTGGTTATGCTGAGGAAGTCACTGTTTCATGTTTTTAACCACATAGGAGGCACAAGTCTACTTCAGCTACATCCGCTCTGCCGCTTGCCCTGACAAATGAGCCAGTGTCTCCATATGAACATGAGGATGATGAATGTGAAAGCATGTTTTAAAAGTCCACTGTGTATGATTGCAATTAAGATTAGCTTGTTCTGAGTCGGCTTCAATGAAACTTACTTTTATGTAAGGACATTTCTTTTCCTCTTTTGATTAAGATTAACAGCAGGAGCATATTTGAGCTTTTATGTTGTCAGACTGTAGGACTACCACTAGTGAATTGCAATGAATAAGCAGAGTAAAGTTTTTTTTTTTTTGTTTGTTTGTTTTTAGGATCTGAAATTTAAATGCCCATGTTCTCAGAACCTCTTGAAGGTATTTGTATCTGCTGACATGTCATTTAGTTCACTTCTCAGTCAAGCATACCAGCAAGATTAATATTTATGACTGGAAGGAGCTATAGAAATAGAAGAATGTTGTTGAATAGCATGGGTGGGGACTGTCTAAAACCTGTGTCAGTGATGTGCCAAAGACTGTGTGCATGCAACAAATATGCATGTGTTTGTGTAAATAATTAATAGTTATTTAATTTTCCCTTAACTTGGGAAAGACTGCTGTTGTTTTGATGCCAGTTGAGATGTAATGATGTTCTTCTCTTGTTGCTGCAGGTGAAGCTAAGAACCTAGGTCCAGTCTCAGGCCCAAATCGACAAAGGGATCTCTGCACCTTTTCCACTGTAAGTCTGGATCAGGAGGAGGTGTTCCGTACCAAGGTGTTTGACAAAAGCGGCAGGTAAGCAGGTTACCTCTGTAACTTCTGGTATGCATCTCCTTATTGTCTTATTTCACAGCTGTTACTGTACAGCAAGGTGTATAGTGTATTAATATTACAGTAATCAGCTTTCAAACATTACATTTTAATTCCATTTCATAAATACAAAGTTACACTAAGTTCAGCATGTTTATTCTTTAGTCTGGTACAGAGCATGGGCTAGCTGTCTTCTAGTTTACAGTGTTTACATGTTGAATTATTGTAGATAAATATGGAAGTTTTATTGAAGAGAGCTTTTAATTGAGTATTTGGCAAACTTTGTGTTGTCACAAATAAAGAGCAGTAACAAAAAATGGCTATAAAATCTCACTGGTTAATACAGAGAAGTAGAGGTCATAGAAAATATGAATGAGTGTACATTGACTTACTTGTGGTAAATCCACATAAATGGGAAATCCATATCGTCATCAGTTGGGGAAAAAAAAAACAGAAGCATTGATGAGTATTGTAAGTAGTAGTCTCAGAATATTTGATTTGTTTCCCGGACAGAGTGATGTTTAAAGCAACTCAGACAAAGAACTTTATTCTGGAGGGGAACTTATTGCACATGTGTACAGACATTTCAGCGTCTTGTGTCTAGTCATTGTACACCTCATTTTAAGTTATGTTGGCTATAGTAGAAATCTAAACATCCCTCTGTTTATGCTCAGGCAAAGGTTTTCAGGTTCAGTGTCTTATATGTCCATCAAGTCCAAATGTAAATGTAGGCTGTATCTGCTGTGGTCTGTCGACTGCCATGATTACTAAAAGTAATGCCAAGAATAATATGCAAAATACTATTTCATGTATATGCAGCCATTTCTGGGATAAAAGCTTGATGTGTGCTTTTGAGCTTAAGCTAAGTATCTTTGGATTTCAATTATTCTTCTGGATGTAAAACACAGCTTACTCAAATTAAATCTAGAGAACGGCAGCTGTTATTCTTTGTACAATTTACAGTTTGTTTCATGAATTGAAGTCAAAACAAAGCGAACAAAAACTCTAAATAACCTCTTGAGGAAATCTGTCATGTGGAAACAGAGAAACTCAACTTTGGACCATTTATGCTTGTCACAGTCAGATCACGGTTTGAAATTCAGTCATCTGGTCACATCTTACACACTGTCAATATGTGACTCAGAGCTTTAAGTGTGCAGGGTACCATTTTAGCTGGGAAACATTAAGTGATTCAGACTGAAATTAGCTATTTTACCATTAGCTTCATGTTCACATGCAGTTCAGAGAAAGGTGTAGGAGATGGGCACCAGGAAACCTTTCAGTTTTCTATCTACATCATTGCACATCTCACTGTAAACATGGGCCTGCCTTCTCTAGGTATTTCACAACAGCTCTTTTTTTTTTTTTTTTTTTTTTTTTTTCTGTCCTGATTTCGGTGCCGTTCAAAAGGATTTTACAGTCTCTGAGGAAGTGTGTCCTCCCACGCTCTCCCCTGTCTTTCTCGGTGTCACTCTCAACTACCTTAGCCTCTATTTAGCACATCTTAATAATCACTAAAATGTGGCCCACTGTGTTTTTATTTATTTGATGGTGGCTTGACTCATGCCTGCTGTATGGGCTCCTGTTTCTAATGGTTAAAAGGCCATATGGAAGCTGTAATTGCAGCTAATCCCATGGATAAAGCAGGCATGTTCAAACAATTGTGGTCAAGTGGCTCCAGCTTGTTTTCTCACATTATTTAGAAGCTAGGATGGGACAACAGAAGGAAAGGTAGTATGGTGGGTGTATGTTTGAGTGTGTACAGAAAAGGGAGGTTATGTGCATCATTCTGTGTGATGTTGAGGAGGATGTGTGGGCGTACACTGGATGTGTTGGCTAAACCCACTGTCGGGCAAGATATTTCACCATCCAGGATGCGTGAATTGTAGAGGGAGGCATCAGTGCATGCATGGAAGAGTTGTAGGACCAGTTTGCTTCAGTACTTTTAGTGAATATTTATACAGATATGCCTGTTTTAAGGCTTATTTCTAGGACCTGATTAGATTTTTAAAAACTGAGAAAATGGTACTGTAGCTCATTAAGCCATATGGCCCATTAACTCCGGTAATGTTCGACAGGCAAACATGTCATTCCTTATTAGGTTATTTAAAAAACTGGCCTACTATACACCAAGGAAGTGTCTACAAAGATGTATATTTGCCAGCTGGTAATTAATTTGACATTACATGTTTATTGATTTATTTTTTATTTCCCCCAAATAAACAGACCTCCTAACTTTGTCAACTTAACGCTCCTGATATGATGTGTAATTAAAATAGAATAGACAGAGGTTGCAGATTTACTAAACGGTCAATCCAGTACAACTGTCGTCTAAGTACTGTTCAGTCTGTTCTGGCCAGGTGGTCCATCTGCAGGCAGCACGTATATTGAGTTAGTGCTTAACCTACAATCAGCTATGTCAGATCAAGCTGTCTAGATCGCGTTATTGGTCGCGAGGCAGTTATGTTGGCAGGACTGAGTGGCACAGATGCTTGAACCCTCTGTGTTTGTGCCAGCTCCTACAGGGCAGTCAGTTCTCTGCTGAACACAGGAGATCTAACCGCTTTGCTGCTAGGCTAGGTTATATAGTATTGTTTAATGATTGGAGTTTGCATTTTCTCCACATGACTATATGGGTTTCTTGTGGGTGCTCTGGTTTTTTACCAAAAAAAAGACATGAATGTTCGGTGGATTGGAAACTGAAAGTGTGTGTGTGTGTGTGTGTGTGTGTGTGTCTGTCCTGCACTGGACTACCAACCTGTCCTGGGTGTCTCGCTAGGGCTAGATGATATTGCTGAACACAGTGTTTTAATATAATAGATATTACTGTTATTGACGTATACCCTGATTCCCAACATGGCAAATGTATGCAAAACTCCTTCTAAAATAATCAAATTGATGTTTAAAGAAATGGCGCACTATGAATTACATCACACAAAACAGAAGTCTTGATAACTCATTTTGTAACTTTAAGTCATTTTCCTCAATCATAAATTTTCAGCAATCTGTAATGGGGTTGGGACGATAGACGATGCCATCGTCCAGATGGTTGATTGTTAAGCAGGCATCGTGATTGTAAAACTGTTTGTAATTGTTGTTTGTACACTATTATACTCTATGTTAAAGAAATGACAAGAAAGCTTTGAGAGAGAATAGATGGCAAAAGTGACAGATTTAAACCCACAACATAGCAAGAGCTTTCCCCACAACCCTGATGAGTCATATGGGCACCCTGTGTTGTCTACCGTCTGCTCAGACAGTTCATTTCCCAGTAAATTAACAAATCCTGTGTTTTATCATGGTTATGCTCAAATATGATAATATTGGTACACTTTGGCTAGAGAGGACATCACCAGGTTTATTCAGTAATTGTCTGTTGGTTTTTTTTTTTCCCTACATAATCTAGAGCCATGAACACAACTTTGTATTACAGGATTATTTAGTGAGTACTTTGATATCATAGTATAGAATTAGGTCGGGTGGATGGCAAATATGGAGATGAGGAAATTGCAAATATAAAGTACATAAAGTTCAGGCTGCAACTAATGATATTTTCATTGTTGATTAATCTGTCGATTTATTTTCTCAGTTAATTGATTAGTTGTTTGGTCTATAAAATGTCAGAATATACCCAAAGCCCAAGATGACGTCCTTTTAAATGTCTTGTTTTGTCCACAACCCAAATATGTTGAAAATAAAATCCCATTAAAGAAGCTGGAATCAGAGAATTTTACTTTTTTATTTATAAAAACTACTTAAAATGATTAATTGATTATCAAAATAGTTGACAACTAATCACTTAATTGTTGTAGCTTTACATAAAGTGTCACTAATCGTAGCATGCAACACTCGCATTACTTAAGCTACTAGCGGTCCTAGCAAATAAATAATAATAAATAAAATACTAAAGCCTAGACCTGGTAGAGCAGCACACATTGATGTGGAGGGACCAGGTCCTAGTCCCAGGATCTGCAAGTGATGCTGGGGGGTCTTTCCCAATGTCCACTCTTGTGGTTATTTGCTTATTTGGTTAAGTTTTAACTGTGTATACAGCATTAGTACTATACATGGGGGTAAACGTGGATAATGAGATTGTCCTGTTGCTCATGTTTTAGATGTGTGTTGTTGTTTTTTTTTTGTTTTTTTTCCATAAAAGCATAAAAACCCATGATCCAGACTCAATAAAGCAAAAAACGGATATGGTGATTTTTATTTTCCAGTGGAGCATTTATCATTTCACAAGCAAATTATGTCTTTTAAATCGGATAGCACTGCACACAGTCAAAAATCAAGCGTCAAGCTTAACAAATCATTAATTAAGCCTATCTGTATGTGTCACGGCTCGAATAAGGTAATCAGGCCATAGCCACTAATCTTGCTACAGTAATCACACATTACACCACCTACTATACACGTTCGTTCTCACATTCTCACACTGTTTTTCCCCCCAAAACATACCACCTCACTTGCTAATTTAAATCTCTGCGTTTTTTTTACAGCCCTTTCTATGGAGAGGACTTCTACTTTGAGATCCCACGTCCATTTCAGTGTTTATCCTTCTACGTTTATGCCAAGAGTGTTTTCCAAAGAGACCTACCCATTGGTAAGTTGCATTTAGAAAAGGCACTTACATAAGTATATCTATTTGTCTGAATGGATGAGCTGCAGGTTAATGTGTGTTTTTATGTCTTTATAGGCAAGGTGTCGATCAGGAAGGATGATCTGTGTAAATACAGTGGGAAGGAGCACTGGTTTAGCCTTCAGCCAGTAGATCCTAACTCAGAAGTCCAGGTAATTTCCAGGAAAGTTCAATGTTTCAAGTGATGAGTCACAAATATCATTTAAATATTTGGCACTCAGTTTGTAGGATAGCTCATCCGGATTTTAATGTGAAACACACTGGGTCTGACTTTGAATTCCACATGCTTGGAAGTTGCCACTAACGTTACTGAGACTGCACCGCTCCCTTCGGGCTCAGGGGATGCATGCTTTCACAACTTGCAGCACCCCAACATAACAAGTAGGAAATTCACTTGCACATAGTCTAAAATTTGCATACAGATAAGATCATTTCCATGTCAAAGTAAGGTGTAATAGTCTCTGTCCAGGCTGCCGTGTTTTGACAGTTTAAAAACCCGAGGCAGGCTCAACTGGGTTTACTGATCGGCTGCCACCGTCAGCCCCCACTCAAAAACTGAATGCCAGCAGTCTGGTTGCAGGAATCAAATATGCAAGACTTGAGTTTGGGCTGTTTGGACCTGTGGAGCCTTTATGTCATGATGTGAAGGAATTAAAATATTTCTGAGGCTTCTTGATTTTTTTTAACAAGAATCCTATATCTAACAAGACTCAGTCCACCCGTTTGCACATAAACACTTAAGCGTGTGTTGTGAAAATACCATCACCTGTGTAAAATTAAATTATGACAACAGGTGGCTTATAAGTCCACATCAGTGGAAAAATACCACTACTGAAAATATTGTTTTTGGCATTTTAGCTTTGTTTGATCACTGAAAGTCATTATTTGTGCCACTGGCAATATTTAAATCTTAAAACCAAAACTAGTACATTTGGACTTTCACGTAGTATTTCAAAAGTCTGGATAGAATTGATGAGGCATTTGTCACCAACTCAGTCCTATCTTTTTTTTATCATGCAAATGTACTGGTCTGTTGAAAGATGGTTACTTTTTAGACTTTGCATACTGCCTAAATCGAGGTAGTCATTGTTTTATAAAACCTGCCCGAAACCCAAGAGGATGAAATTAATACTCAGTGGCATTGGTTCTCAACCTTGTAAACCTCACAGAGTTCCGTATGAATCATTTGATAGACAAATTTGCTGTTAAAATGAAGACAAAGACTTTTTTGTAAAATTGTTTGCAGCTGGCTGAAGACTTGCTGCCGTAGCGCACTCTAATGATTACGATACTATAGCTATCATCTTATGAACTTATGAGGCGTTTATGGTCCAGAGTCTGCCTTTTGTGTTGAATGTGTCTTTCTTTTTCTTCTTCTTTCAGCATTTTATTGATGTTTTTTTTTTTTTTTTTTTTTTTTTTTCCCAGAGTTGCAGTTCTAGTTTCCATCTCATATAGGGCATGCATGTGGGTTGTTCTATTTCAACTGTACATTTATTTGATCAGATAGTTTTTTTTTGTGGTCTGGTTGTGTTGGGTGAAACTACAGCACACTACCACTTTTGTGCTGCTGTAGCTAACGTGTTGACACTAGCTGCCATTAGCCCACGCCAGACTATTCTGGGTTTGTGCTGCTACACTGATTCACTCACAAGTAGACACTTTCAACTGCAAAGTTACATCAGTGAGTGATGGAGGTGTTATTACAATGCCTCTCTGGCTTGGTTCCTCTTCAGACAGGGGCTGTGTATGTACCCTGTGAGCAATGTTGGCTCATTTTCCAGTGAACATGCTCAGCTTATAAAGAAAATTGCAAACAAACAAAATGTACTTTTTTGGCTATATTCATTACTCAAAGTGTTAATTTGCTGATTATTTTGGCTCATTTGGACCCTTGCAAAGTAGTTATTGGCTTAAAGGCCTATCTTGCATCATAAGTACTTGCCATCTCAGCCAAGTGCAGCCAAGTGCTGAATTGCAGAGACAGAGTGCAAGTGTGTGGGCGTTTTGTTTAGCCCCCCCCAACACTTCCGAAGGAGAGACCGGCAGCCTTCACCACATCCGACCCCGTAAAGATCTTTCTGAGTGATGACAAAATTCACAGCTGCTTGTCACACATGTTACCTTCATTAACCTAAAAACTACATGAAACATGAGGTTGAGCTGGGCCACAGGTCTAGGACTAGGCCTAGAGAAGAAAAAGAGAGTAAGAGAAACTTGTTTCAAAGAAAATGCAATGAAAATCTTTAAACATGTGTAGTAAAATGTATAGAATGTTAGTGTTCGTTATTTGTATGTTTTCTTACAAACACATACTACAAGCCCACATTTTGATCATTTTTTACAACCCACACGTGTGCCGTGGTGTAAGACTGAGATCTCATGACTTGAGTAATTTGTAACTTCTCACCAGTCACTCTCCTCTCCCCATGTTCAACAGGGTAAGGTTCACTTGGAGATGCGATTGAATGAAGTGATCACAGAGAATGGCTCAGTAGGTCAACACTTGCTAGTCCGGTGAGTACCAAGATCCCGTGTTGCCAATCAAGTGAGGTTTAATCCAGTTTGTTGTCTTATGAGCTGGGAATGTTTGCAGGGAATCTGACATCAAGGTAGAATAGTGAGTGCTTCCACTGGCCTAAGATCAAATCCTGACAGTGATGTGTTGGAGATGAGGTTTTTCACTCTTTATGAAGTTTGTGACAAAGTGCTTTACATTAAAGGACTGAGTTTACATACAAATATTCACATATATACACAACAAAGTACAAGTATAGACTAAGCCTGCAATAACATTATATAAAAGGGGAAAACAAAAAAAGGGAAATTCAAGAGACTAAACTAGAACAAGAACAATTAGACATTGTTTGATCTCTTGTTTACCCTCAACTATTTGACACATAAATATGGTGGACACTCAGGAATCAATTAAACACAGAATCATGCATTTTGACAGTTCTTAATAGTTTTTTGATTTAAGTTTCTCAGACTCTTTTCTTTTAGTTGTGTGGTATGATGGGGAAACGCAAAACCCCACTGTCCTGAACAGACTAACAGATTAGGGAGTCTTTGTCCACAATATTCCTAAAACAATGTGTATTGTAGCTTTGGTTCACAGGCAGTAACAGCAACTGTAGCTCACAAAAAACTATCCTCCTTATCTTCTGTGCTGCAGTGACTATAGCCAGCCAAATAATTTTCAGTTGTATACATTTTCTCTGGGATTAGAGGCACGAGTTTAAAACATCTAATGCCCCAAAATATGTCAAAATAGGAAACATCTCTTAATAGTTCAGACAGAGGTATATGAGAAAGAAAGTTATCAAAAATGAGTCATGATTGATAAGATCATATCACTTGCCTGTCATAGCGGGTTGTTTTTTTGTGTGCGTGACAATATTACTTTATCTATCACCTTTACTTCCCAGCTGTTGTACCAAAATGTTTTCTCACGGTGAGGCGATGTAGAGCGCAGAAGAGGGTCTCCACACTCAACCTTCCTTAATATTTTTATGACCTCCAACTCATTCTGCTTAAGTTATTCTGTCATATTTAGGATGTATGAATTGGCCATGATGTTAAGAGCAAAATGAGCAACTAAAAGCCCAAAACATTTACCACACAGACACCAGCGATCCGTGCAGCAGCTAGTTTCGCAGTGGTAAAAACATTACATACTCAGAATAGTGCTCTGCAGGAATGTTTTGGAAGAGCTGGAAAAATGAGCGAGAAGAGCAAATTGTTGAAGTGCCAGTGTGAAAAAAAAATTAGTGTCCCAAGATGTTGATGGAAATTATGTGTTTGCTGGAGATCGGCCGAGCTTTCAAACTTGAGCCCAGTATGTAATAACCACCTCTTTACCTCGACTAGTTTTTGACTGTACCTTCTCTCGTTGGCCAGAGTCCGGCATTACTAATCTTAAGGACCTGTACGTTGGTATATTTGCGCATTTTAAATTCAGCCTCATTCAAACCTGTTGTGATATTTTCAGTTCCAGAATCCAACATTTTCTCAAGTCAGGGCTCAGATCTATGTTGGACACCCCTCTCCCCCCTGAAGTGTGTTAATAATTCTTATTATCCCAGATGCAAATAAAAAAATGCACTTGGTGTGTACGTGTATGTATAAAAATATTAAAATAACTGTATATATCTTATTTTATGTTATTATATTATATGCCATATTCTAATATACATTTAATTATCTGTTTAAGTTCTGTGTGTAGCATGAAGGGACTACAAACATTTCATTGTACAACCATGTGTTGTATAATATAAGTAAACTACCTTTTGTGTTCCGCATTTTTGACATTATTGTGCCTTTTAAAGATTCTCTCTTAACACAAAGTAGGCTGGGAAATGGCAGTTGGAGAACCTTTCCCAAAGGAAACATGAGGTGTTGCTGTGCAGAGAATAAATGGAAGTAGCTCTTGCACTAGACTCAGTTTGAATTAAAGTCCTCCATCATATCCACTATTCAAACGTTAAGCCTTCAAAAATATAGCCTCAAGACTACACAAGACTAGTAATAGATGTCATGGTACTTCAGCAGACTTTACTTGTGTGTTCTGGATCTGTCTTTATCTATCTACCTACCTACTCTGCAAGTATTTATTTTTCTCCAAAGTCACAGGCAGACGCTTTAGTCTAAATGTTTGGACAGCTATTTTTGGGGTTTCAGTCAATGATCAACCACAACCACTGAAATTAAAGAATATTTCAGCATTTTCATCATTATTGGCAAGAAGAAGAATTTTATTAAACTGGAAATGCCTAGCCCCTCCTCAGAAGTCCCTCTGGCATAAAGACCTGAGGATGTTTATAAATCTTGAGAAAACAAAGTTTGCACTGTGAGTCTTCACAACTTTATGTGAAGGGATTTATTTGTTTATTTTTAACTTTATCATTACACTTTTTAAATGGGTCGTTTTAAAGGGAGGGCTTATGGAGATGGGATATAGAGGCCTATTTGTTGATGGGGTTCTCACTGTGCTCAATGCAACTTTGTTCAATAAAAATAAAGCAAAAGTTGTCAGAAGCTCAAACTGTTACCAGATGATGATGATGATGATGATATGGGAGGATGGTCTGCTCAAAAGAAGACCTCATTGAAGAATCCTCTTGAGCACACGAAGTGCATGTACAACCACAGTGTAGCGTGTGTATGTTAGACCTCATGTTGTTTACGTATGTTGTTTTGCATCCCCCATTCATACTTGGAGAGCAGGGTAATGAGGAGGAAGTGATGGCATCTGAGCAGGAAGCCTGCGCTTGTCACACTGCAACCGCTGTGGTTTTCTGCTGCCGTCATTCACTGGCTCTCAGATTGTTTTGCTTAAACTGTCACCTGCTCACTGTCAGCTCTCATTATATCTGCATAAAGGATGAAGCAGGATCCTTTTTTTTTTTCTTTTTTTTTTCCTGCTTTACATCAGCCTGACCAGACAAAGTAGCATAGTTAAAAATCAAGGGCGTATCATTTGCACACTTTTTTAGTCATCCTGTTGCAGTGTGATTAGTCACCAGAGATGGCCAGAGTAAAGCAAAATGGTGTTGAGATGCAAATGAGACTATAGGGAATACTGTCATGACACCCTGAAAGATGCACAAACAGCCTGACATTCTGTCTGTTTGGCTTCTCCCTCTGGCCTCACTTAGCAATGGCCTGATTCTTATTCTCTGGTGACTCCCGCTTAGCAGCCACATCCTGTTTAGGGTGCCCACAGTGTCTGATTGTTGTCACTTGAAACACCTGTGAAAAAAGCAGTGGTCCCTCTGTGACACGAGCCAAATATGAGGGCAAAGCACGACTTCTAAATAAAGACTGGATCAACCGTTCATCAGTGCGTAGTGCTGTTGTTATATTGTTTTTTGTTTGGTTGTTTTTTTTTTTACTTTTGACAATCTGATGATGGCTTTACACTCCACCTCCATGTCTCAGGATTGATACTTGGCAGAAATATTACTTTTAAATGGTGATCTTGACAACTGATGCCAGATTCAGCAATCCTGAGAACTGATAAACTGGACATAAAAGTATGAAAATCATTTTGAATTGCATTGAACTTTATACACTGCTCAAAAAAATAAAGGGAACAATAAAATAACATCCTAGATCTGAATGAAAGGAATAATCTCGTGAAGTACTCCTTTCTTTATATAGTTGAATGTGCTGACAACAAAATCACACAAAAATTATCAATGGAAATCAAATCTATCAACCCACAGAGGTCTGGATTTGGAGTCCCACTCAAAATCCAAGTGGAAAACCACACTACAGGCCGATCCAATTTTGATGTAATGTCCTTAAAACAAGTCAAAATGAGGCTCAGTAGTGTGTGTGGCCTCCACGTGCCTGTATGACCTCCCTACAACGCCTGGGCATGCTCCTGGACAGTCTGTGGTGCAACGTGGCGTTGGTGGATGGAGCGAGACATGATGTCCCAGATGTGCTCAATTGGATTCAGGTCTGGGGAATGGGCGGGCCAGTCCATAGCATCAATGCTTTCCTCTTGCAGGAACTGCTGACACACACATGAGGACACCAGCCACATGAGGTCTGGCATTGTCTTGCATTAGGAGGGACCCAGGGCCAACCGCACCAGCATATGGTCTCACAAGGGGTCTGAGGATCTCATCTTGGTACCTAATGGCGGTTAGGGCTACCTCTGTGCGGCCCCCCAAAGAAATGCCACCCCACACCATTACTGACCCACCGCCAAACTGGTCACGCTGGAGGATGTTGCAGGCAGCAGAACGTTCTCCACGGCGTCTCCAGACTGTCACGTCTGTCACATGTGCTCAGTGTGAACCTGCTTTCATCTGTGAAGAGCACAGGGCGCCGGTGGCGAATTTGCCAATCTTGGTGTTCTCTGGCAAATGACAAACGTCCTGCACTGGGCTGTAAGCACAACCCCCACCTGTGGACGTCGGGCCCTCATACCACCCTCATGGAGTCTGTTTCTGACCGTTTGAGCAGACACATGCACATTTGTGGCCTGCAGGAGGTCATTTTGCAGGGCTCTGGCAGTGCTCCTCCTGCTCCTCCTTGCACAAAGGCGGAGGTAGCAGTCCAGCTGCTGGGTTGTTGCCCTCCTACGGCTTCCTCCACGTCCCCTGATGTACTGGCCTGTCTCCTGGTAGCGCCTCCATGCTCTGGACACTACGCTGACAGACACAGCAAACCTTCTTGCCACAACTCGCACTGATGTGCCATCCTGGATGAGCTGCACTACCTGAGCCACTTGTGTGGATTGTAGACTCCGTCTCATGCTACCACTAGAGTGAAAGCACCGCCAGCATTCAAAAGTGACCAAAACATCAGCCAGGAAGCATAGGAACTGAGAAGTGGTCTGTGGTCACCACCTGCAGAACCTCTCCTTTATTGGGGGTGTCTTGCTAATTGCCTATAATTTCCACCTGTTGTCTATTCCATTTGCACAACAGCATGTGAAATTGATTGTCAATCAGTGTTGCTTCCTAGGTGGACAGTTTGATTTCACAGGAGTATGATTGACTTGGAGTTACGTTGTGTTGTTTAAGTGTTCCCTTTAATTTTTTTGAGCAGTGTAGCAACATGTTAGCCTTCTGTAACCAATGTTGCATCCAGGCATCATGACCAAATTTGTTTTTGCACACAACACTATGATACATGAATCAATGCTGCAGCAAGAAAGGAGGGCCCAATAATTAGCAATACTCACATTATACTGTATAATGTATGATGATGATAAAACCTCAAAACATTTGTTAGCTTTATACAGTAAGTACAGCATTCATCAGCAGTGTTAGATGTGTGTAAAGTATAACTTTGTATCCTATGCGTGCATTAAGCCTAATTTGGGTAAATGTAATTCATGTACTTCAGAAGTAGTATTTACATATTACATAATCATGTGTGTTTGTGCGTGTGAGAGAAAGAGATGGCAATAATGTGATGAAATTAGATTTTTATCTTTTGGGGCTGTCAGGTACTGTTTAAGGTAATTTGTTTTAAAACTTGTGGAAGTTGATGTCCACTTCATTTGTCAGTCACACTGATTGATTACTCTATATGTACACATGTATTGCCTGAGGGCGGTAAGTATATGTCAGTTTTAAAAGTCATAAATGCCTGTTGGTGTTTAGAAACATTGTAGTTTCATAGGTTTTCCCATTGTAATACAGTGGTGCCTCAAAGTTAATTCCAAAATTACCTAAATAGTAGTATGTTTTCATTTCAGGTTCATAAGTGTCCTGTTACATAAACTTGTTTTTTTTATGTCCCGTGATAAAAGACCATAGAGGGTTAATACCAATGGCATTTCCTCTCAGGCATCTGTTGAACCAACAAGAAATTATTTACTATTTATGCTCTTAAGACAATGTGGAAAGCTAATCCCTCACAAGGTCTTGGGCCACTTTCAAGTCTGTCGATTCATAATTGATTGAAAGTTTTATTCCAAGATGACTGTGGTGGATTGCTGCTTATCTATGACTATGTAAATAAATCGAGTGAAGATAAAATGTAAATGAACACAGTATTAATTAACACACCATGTCCATGTTGTGTCCCTAAACAGTGTCTCTCCCTCCTTGTGTCTTTGTGACCTCCTCTAGGATAATAGAGTGCCAGGGACTGCCGCTGATCAGCGGGCAGAACTGTGACCCGTATGCCACCGTGTCCCTCGTTGGACCTGCCAGGTAACTTTTTGAATGAAACACATACCAAAGACAGCTAGGTAAACAACCTACACACAGGGTGGTTGTCTTGTTCTTGCATGCTTTAAGTATAGAAGCAGCTTTCTCCTTTTTAACTTGTTTGTTTTGTTTATTAAAAATAATACATATATGGAGACCCCTACCAATTTCCTTAAATAAACATTGTGCAGTTTTTCCAAACTGAAAGTTAAAAGAAAAAGAGCAGAACTGGTAGGGCTGAATGCTCGGGAGAATGTGTATTTTTATATCAATATTCTCAGTTTCATTGAGAAACATATTAAAATTATTCTTGTCATATTTCCAAGAATCTGTACCAAACAAAGACGTTTTCTTAAGTCTCTAGAATATGATGTGTAGGCCAGGACATCTCTGCAGCATGAAAGTATTTGAAAATTGCAGTAGTTATATTGAGATTTTGAAATCTTTTATTAAATTATTATTATTATTTATTAATTGTTCAGCACTAACAACTGGTATTGTTATCCTGCATGACCTGTCTGTCAGCTATTAATGTCAACTTTAAAGATATCAGATTTGTTTTTCGGCTGCCTCCAAGTGTCAAAAAAATCAGTTGCAGGTTTTACAATGAAATGTTCAATCAATTCTAAAACAGCCTAAGCCAATAGAGGGCAGCTAATATCCGAGTGATATCTGTGATCCATTTTGCACCAAAATTGCTAAAGGAAATTGAGGCTAAGGCGAGCATGATGATTTGCAGTGATCCAGTCTTGAGAAGGCCATAACAGCTTTGTTTACGTCACTAGATTAAAACTAAAATACCTAATTTATTACACATTCCTCATTGTAGATTTTTAAAAATTTATGTAATCTTGCAGAGAAATAAAAACTGAATTTAAAAAACGAATGGTAACTGCAAACCATCATGGAAATAGTAGGGAGGTGGGTTTTTTGTTTGTTTGTTTTTTTTAAAGTGAGTATCAGATTTGCTGTTATGTCTCTCTTCAGGTCTGACCAAAAGAAAACAAAGGTAAAGAAGAAAACCAGCAACCCACATTTTGAAGAGACCTTCTTCTTCGAGGTAACATTTACAACTGCACATTTTGCTGTCTAGCCACAGGGGCTAAAAAAGGGCGCTATTTGTATGGGTAAGCCAGTAAATGAGCCTTGACATGTTCATCTTCAGGTCACACGGTCCAGCAGCTACTCTAAAAAGTCTCATTTCCACGTGGAGGAGGAGGACATTGAAAAACTTGAGATCAAGTAAGTTGTTATTTTCTCTCATCTGTGCATTTCTGTGACTCTCTGACTCTCATATTTCTTCCTCTATAATCTTGACAGAAGGAAAAAAAAATTTCAGGACAAAAAAGTGAATTTAGATCTGGTGTGTTCTGACTACTCATTGAGAGCCTTGGTTTCTGGTTAAGGATATGTGGGGCTTCCGTCACAGTGGACTCATAGCTCAGTGGGTAAGACTAGACAGATTCAAAGGTAAACACTCCTGCATGGTTTTGAGGTTTGGATTTGAGGTGGTGTCTTTGCACTGGTATTGTATTGGCTTTTGTGCACCAATCAGGTAAGCACCACTCAGTCTGGTCCGTTTTGCCATATTGCAGTTGGATGGTTATGTGTTTGTGCTGAACACACACACACACACAGCAACAAATAGCCTGTCTTACTTGACGTATACATGTAGTTTAATGATATATATTCATAGATGAAATACTTGTTTCAGTTCCCATCCTCTACCTTTTGCAGAGTTGATTTGTGGAACAATGAGAATCTAGCACAGGATGTGTTTCTGGGGGAGACGCGGGTCCCCGTCAAGATCCTGCAAAGTGACCACATCCACAAAGCCTGGTAAGGACTAGACAAAAGAAAATGTCTTTTCATTTCTAACATTTACCATTCGATAGGAATGTAAACATAATGCACCCATACATACAAGATCCATATTTTCTTCTGTCTCACTGGATTTACACTATTAGCTGCAGACTTCACGGCCGTTCCTAACTCCGTCAAGTCGACATTACACAGACATAGACACACTGCTACAATCTGCTGAATTCACTCTTTACTGTGGTGGTGGTTGTGGCAGTGGTGGAGCTCCAATTTCCACTGAGGATAAACATCGAAAAATCACCAGAAAAAAGCCTTTCCTTATAAATCCAGATCTTGGGTCATATCCATGAGATTCAATGAGCTACCTAAATTTAAATATTTTATTTAAATATTTATTTTAATGGTACAAATACAATACAAGTCATGCTTTTATTTTTAAATAAATTTACATTGTAAAATATAACATTTTGTATATATTGTGAGCAGCTAAATGTGTAAATTTTACACAGAAAATTAATGTGGACAGTTTGTAACAGCTTCTGAGGTGTACCGCATTACGTCCTTTGTAAATACAAATACAGTGATGAAGATGAAGATGGTCCAAGATGAAGATGTTTGTGAAATAAACAGATACACATAGTAACATTGCATTATATCCCTATTATCTGCTTTATAACATATTCCCATTGAGCTAACAGATGTTTAAAAATGGATTGCGCAGAACGAATGTTTTGTTGTTTTGTTTTTATGTATACTTCTTTAGGGTTGGTAAAACTGCCAGTCAGCCTCACTTGATTTTTTTATTTTTTTTTGTCAAATGTACAGCTACATGCAGTCAAATATTTTCACATGCATCGTTTTGCCCTAAAGGCTTTCATGTACTGCCATGGCTGAAAATGAATGGGCCCATTTTAGATTTTCAGGGAAGATAATGGAAGACTAGAAGACCTGCGCAGCATACATATACCACTCCTGGCTTGTGTTTGTTAACCGTCAGAGATAGGATTTTATGTGTAGTTGTTTTTGTTTTTTTACAATTTCTTAGTTCAAACAAGGGTAGCTAGTTTCTTTGGTTACTGGACTGTGATGAAAATAAGTCCAGGACTTTCTTATCTGATGGCAAGTCTGATGTGTTTGTTTTTTAATAAATGCATTCGATTGCTTCCAATTTATAAAAAAAAACAAAAAAAACCCCAACAAAGTCAGACAGACACTGTCACTCTGACCTCATGGCCCGGTCACCTTCCTCTTAACTAGTTCAGTTTTTTACACTTGGGAGGTGGAGCTTTTTGCATTGGAGTCTCTGAGTTTATGATCTCCATCTTTCTTATCCTTCAGGACACCTTGAACTGTTATGTTTTGCGTGTAATTACAAGGTGATTTGACAAATCTTCCTAGATTTCTCAGCGTTCAGCGAGTTTTCCATTGTGTGGGTGTTTCCTAGCTTTACGTCAGTGTAGCTCATATGGGATTATGCCAGATAGCAATCTGTTAGTACATGAGGGCTGTGAACTGAGTGCGTGGGTGGCTTTTTGCATGGTGGCAGTACCTCATGTCCTATGTTTATGCTGGAAACGCTCCATTTTGCGCACACAAAAAAACTGTTCAGCCTCATGAAATCAGTACAGGTGATCTGTTGACTTCTTTCAGAGAAGCGTCTCTGTGCATGTGTTCCATGATTACAGATCAAGCAACCTAAGCCCACAGTATGTATTTGCAGCTTTTGAAGCACTGCAGTTCATGTCTGCATTTAATCGTTTTGCTCCACCTGTTGGCGTTCAGGGAGATTTGCATGTAGCACTAATAAAAGCAAGATCCTCCTAAACAAAGCGATTTGTTTTACAAATCCATTGATCTTTGGTGGAAGTTAACCAGTCCATCAGACTTGTATAAACAGATGGAAAGAAAAGACAGCTGTCTGAGTTTTATATAGTGTTTACAGGTTGGCATTAGCTTTATTGTAACTCCCTTTAAAATGAGTTTGAGCTGGTGACTCTTCAGAGCAACAGTAGCTACAGTAAAACATCCTCTAGGTGCATTAATATGTCCCTAAATAGTTATGTATAATAGTTTATTATACACTAATGGATGTTAATGTACTTGACACATCTGATGATGTAGGGATGTATCTTTTGGTTTTGTGTTCGGATTTATCAGGGGGCGGGGGGGTTGTTATTTACATATAGTATGTAATTTATCTATTGCTGTCTCCAATGTAGTATTTCTCATATTCATTGACTCTATATGATGCTTATGTATCTATTAACAGCATCACAGCACTGTATTCAGAAGCTATTTTCCAACCAGGTGCATGCACTGCTCTTTCTGCATTTAGGCAAGGTGTAGAATAAAAGCACAATAAGGGTCAGTAATAATGTAATATGTAAAAATGTAATAATTTGTGGTTTCAGATGTGTTGAGGTGGTTTCAGGTCGGCAAGATTGACCGTCAGCCGACTCTTTTCTTAAAGCGGCTGTGAAAATTATTTGGTTGATTGTTTGGCTCGTGTATTATTTAGTATTAGGTAGGTTGAGTTGTGTTTCTATGTGCAATTTTAATATCAAACTTATTTTAGTATTGTGACATGGAAAAGTATTTGTTTTCCCGCACATTACAGCACAGTAAGCTGGTGTCTTGTTGTCCTATGGTCCAACAGGTATCTCCTCCAGCCCAAAGGGAACGGCAGCAAGTCCAAGTCTGATGATCTGGGTTCCTTGCGTTTGAAGCTAACCTACATAGAAGACACGGTGCTGCCATCTGCCTGCTACACACCACTCTGCAACCTGCTGCTCAAATCCCCAGATGTGAAGGTAAGACAAGAGCTCAAGTTACAGTAAATCTTAAAATGGAGGAGAAACCTTTTTTAAAATGACAGAATCTAGGCCAATGATCACTGATGCCATCCTGGGGCTTATTTAGGAGTCAAATGCTCTTAGTAGATAATTCATGGTGGCGTAGCTTTCCTCCATGTGGCACAATCACCTCAGCCTTCAATTACTTAAATTGTATTGAGAGATAATCGCATTCCCCACCTTTTCACCCTCTCACCTGCCGCTCTTTCTCTTCGCCTTCTTCAGCCCATCTCGGCGTCAGCAGCACACATCTTGGGGGACATCTGCAGAGAGCGATATGAGGCTGTTCTGCCGATGGTTCGACTGCTGCTCCACCACAATCGCTTTGTGCCTTTTGTCTCTGCTGTGGCAGCGCTAGAGCTGGACAACACTCAGTGAGTACTCGCACATGCACACCTACAGTGCAGTACAGGTAAATGTCATGGCCAACACCGTTACTTCTCCTCGTGAAGTTACGTTCCTATTTCTTTCTCTCTTTTTTTACCTGGATGTTATTTTTGTAGTTTCTGCTCTCATTCATTGTGACTAAGAAAATGTAACCAAATTTAAAACAGGAAGCCGATGTGAAATACAATAATAAGCTGATTCTAAAATTTGGATGTTGCATAAAATGTCAAACCCGAATACTGTAATTGAAGAAGGAGTGCTTATAATAAATAAGACCTGAGTCATTTCCTTTTAAAAACTGGGCTGGACTGTCAAACATTTAGATGTCGAAACACAATGAGTACTTTAATGAGGATTATCTCAATTGGTCCAAAACTAGCTAACATAAAAACAAAACTAAACTGTCAAGAAATGTGGTGAGTGTTGGTTATAACGTCTGTCTGATGTTCTGTGCCCATACAGGGAGGCTAACACTATATTCCGTGGTAACTCACTGGCAACACGCTGCATTGATGACATGATGAAGATTGTAGGAAAGAATTACCTGGCGGTTACCCTGAAGCCTGTAATAGATGAGGTATGAGTAACAAGGACACACATACACATCCAGTGTAGATGCCCGAATAGGCATGAGTCAGTATGGAAAACTCTCCCTGAACAGCTGCCTTTCCTCTACAAACAAACAGATGTGCAGATGTAATTGGTAGTTTGGAGTTATTACAGCACATTGCATTGATCACTTTTTTAACCCCTTTCCAGTAATTTCCTCAAACTGTTTCGCATTAATGAGAGTTAAAATTGTAATTTTAATTTCTAATCAGTGGTTGACTTAAGGCTTTTTGATCCTGGTCTGACTGCATCTACCCAGTGTGCCACAGTGTATTCTTGGTTTTCTTCATATTCAGTAGGGGTGTAATGATTCTTCAAATCTATTATTATTATTATTATTATTATTATTATTATTATTATCATCATCATCCATCTTGGGTTAATAAAACTAGCCTAACTTGTGGGACCAAAATCATCACATGACACACGCAGTTAGAAGACAGTAATAGATATACTGTGTAATAATTACAAAATATAGTCCTACAGCTTGCTGTGGACTGTTCTTGGGCGGGCTGCCCAGGTATGTTTAGCGACCAATTGTAGAATTTTGCAGAGAAACTGGGAGAGAGAGATGTTAACTGGTATTGCGCAGTCAGGGGGAACATTTTACAAGCACGGAGCGACAGTGAACACCAGTGCAGATGTCATTCGATACCACCTTGCTTTCGATCCACATGCGGCACACCTGCTGCTGTGAAAACCGAATCACTGGTGAGTTTATTAAACACACATTAACAATAAAACATTGCATACCACTGATAAAGAAAGTCAGCAGAGACACATGGGAATAGAGACAGAGTGTAAAAAAAGTGTAGGTGTGTTCCTAAGTGTGGGGGAAAGAGAAATTAAGCGAAAAGGAGCAGACTCAAGTATCAAGTAAACAATAAAGTGGAAATAGAATTAAAATGATGAAATAACCTACTGTCCGGACATTTGTGTCACGGTTTCGGTCTCTGTTTCAGAACAATTACAGCCTTTAATATTAATTTTTTTTATCTGTGACTTAATATTAGTGTTTACTTAAACAGCTTATTGAATACTAATTTGGGTTCTTTGACATGTCTCGGGGGAATAAAAGCAAAGACTGTGAATGTCTGCGGTACTCCTACTCCTCATCTTCTATTGTGGTCCATCTTACTTCAACACAATAAGAATAAATCCAAGTCTTTGTTCTTTTTTTCATTAATACAGTAGGCCCAACCCTAATTATATTTTTGTCCTCTTAACCTTTCATAGATTTGTGAATCCAACAAGACATGTGAGATAGACCCCATAAAACTAAAGGAAGGTGACAACGTGGAGGTCAACAAGGTAAATGCACTAATCTCATTACTTCCTTTGTTTTTGGGTGTAGTGCTACAGAAGGTTTATTCACAAATATGTCATAAAACAAAATGTCATTTCAACTCCCACTGACTTTCCAGTGGGGCTGAACGATTAATCACTATTAGCTAATCGTGAAGACGGCGATTAAAATGTAGGTTAATTATGCAGCGCATCTGACCTGTTTTAAGAGACATATTATACTGCTTTTCCAGTCCTATATTGTAGCTCTGTGACTCCTGTATGGCAGCTTTGCATGATTCAAAGTTCAAAAAAAGAATTGTCTGTCTTATACTGGCTCTTCATGTAGGCCTTCATTTCAGCCTCTCTTTGAACAAGCTGTAGATACTCCTGTCTCTTTATGGCCCCCCTGTCAAAGCCCACTTTCTTCTGATTGGCCAAGACCTGAAGCATGTTACCATGCTGGAGTTGTTGCTGGGCATAACAGGCAGACTGAGCGTTGCCATGCCGTTAGTGTGGGAGCACATGACCAAAAATGGAACACCGGCTCCATATTATGTAGAACGGAACCGTTGGTTGAAAGAGCAGTTCAAAACGGAGCGTTCAGAACAGGAGGAAACCTGAGGTTTTTGCTCACAGTGATTTCTTATAAATGCTTTAACCTCATTTTTTTTAAACTCTTGCCATGTTTAACATGAACATCCAACATTGTAACACTGTAGATAAGTCATAAAATGTGGAAAAGCATAATAGGTCTCCTTTAAACAGTCATGCAGTTACAGATTCCGTTGTCATCCTTGCGTGACTGATCTGCTCGCCAATCACAAGCTCCATGCGCCTTCTGTTACGGTCCTACTCACCAATCAAAGCGGGCACAGGTTGTGTAACGTTACATTTTACAACAAAAAATGAAACTAGAGGAACAGACACAGGCAGCGGCCATGCCGTGTTTTTTCCCGGTCTGGACTCGCACTGAAGTGAGTCAGCAGCGGAGCGTTTAGCTGTCCTATGTTAATGTTATTAATTTGTCATTTTTGAAAAAATGACAAATTAATCCGTTCCGCTCTCTGCTGGTTAACGTGACACATCCACATGGAGCATTTCTGAATAAGAGCGTTTTGCCTGTCTGATTTTACTGACTTGTTCAGGTTTTGCTTATTTGTTCAGTTGTCCTTAATTGCTGTGCTTCTACTATGGTTAAGTTGGCTACGTAGTTAAATTGTTTTTTTTGTCTGTTTTTAACTGCGTTTATTGTTGATTTATGATCAGGAGTCTGCAAAGTGTGTTTTATTTTGAAAATCGAATTCTCTATTCCGTTCTGTGTGACTTCCTGCCTGGTTCATCTGCTCAGTGCTGTTTGACGTGGCTTCTGTCAAAAATAGACTGGCAGTGAATATTGAACTGCTTATTGAAAAATCAATTTTAAAAAATCGCAAATTGAATCGTAATCGCAATATCTGTCAAAAATATTGCAATTAGAATTTTTTTTTTCCAAATCATTCAGCCCTACTTTCCAGTACCTCATCCATATCATTGTTGATTTCAGTGGCTTTCACCTTCAACATATCCATTTTACTTTATTTATCAAATGTATCTAAGTAGTACTTTTTGTTACCTCTGCAGGAGAATCTTCAGGGTTATGTCCAGAAAGTCTTTTCCTCCATCACCCAGTCCAGTTCCACATGTCCCCCACTTATGTGTGATGTCTTCAGGTCACTGAGACACTTGGCCTGCAAACGCTTTCCAGGTAAACGAGTCTGTGTAAGAGGCTGCTGTGGCATTTTTGCTGCCACTTTCTCGGAGAAATTCATTCCAGCATCTAAAACAAACCAAAACAAGAACAAAACCCACCGCAGACATGTGCATATAGGATAGGAAGATCAGTGTTAATCTGTCATCACTTTTCTTTTACAAGACGCAGGTTTTTTTCTTCTTTTCCTAAAATTGGCTCAGCAGGTTTATTGTTCCAAAGGCACTGAATATGTTGGCTGTCCCCATAACAAATAATATTATAATTTATTATAATCATAACATAATCATAACAAATAATATTATAATTTACTGGCTACGGTCTGTCTATTATTTTTCTATTTATTATTCTGACACTGTGTGCTGCAGTATTTATTTAATTTTTGAGCACATGGAGTTCGACAATTTTCACCCCATGGAACAGTAAATGGATGGGCTATCTTTAAAATTAAAAAAACCTCGGACAATGTGTTTAGCAGGGCTACAACAAACGATTATTTTACTAATTGATTAATTTATTATTTTCTCGATTAACTGATTAGTTGTTAGGTTCAGAAAGGGGTTCGCAAAGCCCAAGGTGACATCTTCAAATGTCGTCTTTTGTCCACGACCCAAATATATTCAGTTCACTGTCCAAGAGGAGGAAAGAAACCAGAAAATATTCACATTTGAGAAGCTGGAATCAGAGAATTTGGATGTTTTTTTTTCTTTTTAAAAAGGATTCTGTACTGTAAATCAAAATGGTTGGCAATTAATTTAATAGTTGACAACTAACCAATTAATTGACTAATCATTGCAGTCCTAGTAGAGGAATTCCCACAGATCTAAAACTGGGCTTTTACTGTAGCTCTATATCAATAGCTTTGTTTACCCACATAATGAAAACAAGTGAATGAAATTAATTTATGGCCCAAATAGGGCTGGGCAATAAAATAATAATGATTGCAGTGTAATTTTCTTCAATAACAATATAATTAATGTTCAGTCAATCTTTGATTTTAATTCTTTTAAATGATGAACGGATTAGCACTTAATTATTCTATTAAGATATTTATTTTGTTAAGGGGAAAAGGGACTGAATAAATTTTAATTCATTTTACGCATTCATATTTGTTGACAAGGTTTTAATTTTTTTTAATGTTCTACCTCAGATTTTGGTAATAGATCAATTGTTTGGCCTGCGTTATAAAGAATAGTTTAAAAACCACCAAATAACTATGTTTTTTTCTTCAACTTTTACTCAGGAGCAAAAATCAGCCTTTAAACTTAGAAATAATGATTTGACATTTATCGTGTTGATTAATGATACTGAACAATATTAATTTATTCATCATGATGACATTTTTGACCATATTACACAGCACAAGGCCTAAGTAAACTTAAACATATTAAATAGTCAAGCTTTTGTAGTGTGGTAAGGCGTTAATATATGGTTCCACCATAAGGTGGAGCCAAATCATTAAGTTTAACCTGAGTTTCATCTCACAGTGGCTATATTCTTGTCAACTTCCAGTATACACATGCCAGAAACATTGATTCATTTAAACACCACCCCCTGTTGCTTTTATACTTTATAAGACTTGCTTATTGGTTGAATGAGCTTGATGCCAGGTTCACTAAATTTGTTCTTTGTCTCTACAGCTGACCCACATGTTCAGTACTCAGCTGTTAGCAGCTTCGTGTTCCTGCGGTTCTTTGCGGTCGCTGTGCTTTCTCCGCACTCCTTCCAACTCCGCTCCCACCATCCTGTAAGTGCATGGCTCCACAACTCCCCATTTAATAAATGTACTGGAGGGCAAATTTACATGTGGCCTACACAATACATTGTTGTCATTGTACATTTTTTTGAATTTTAGGATCCTGAGATTTCCCGCACACTTACACTCATCTCAAAAACAATCCAGACCCTGGGCAGCTGGGGCAGTTTGTCCAAAAAACTGGTAAGACTGACAGTAAAGATGAGAAATTCTGTTTAGCAAAGTGGGAGGACGAGTAGACGGTCCATCATTCACTCTGTAGAGTCCTGACTTATTAGTAAAGGTGTTATTAGTAAAGAGTGAGACTGATGAAACCACTGTCTGGGCTGAATCTACAATAAGGTCCTACATTCAGAGGAACACTGTAGTGTAATAGTGTTAACTATTAACTGTATATGTATGTTTTTGATTGTGTAACTGTCATCAAACAATATCAAATGCAGTATTTTAATGTGTCTCCTGTTGATTTAAGTCTTTATTTTTTCTTCTTTTAGTCTAGTTTCAAAGAAACCTACATGTATGATTTCTTCAAATCATTCCAAGAGGACAAGTGCATCGAAAAAGTTAAAAAGGTATATTTTTAAAAATCCTGTTCCATTAAATATGAATTCTTTTTATGTAATTATCTATCGGTTAGCGCTGATGTCATCATAAATTGTGTTTTCTAGTTTCTTGATGAGATCTCCTCTAACGTCAGCAAGGAGTCCAGTGGGCTGGAGGATGCGGTGGTTCTAAAGGAGGGGTGAGTTTTGAGTAATTGCTTCCTTTTTTTGCTTCCTTTTTTCTTTTTTTTGTCTCTTCCCTTCAAAATTTAAGTGGTCTGTTGGGGGAAAGTGCAGAAACATGTTCATATCTTTATGTATTTATTGGTTCCAGGAGGTAATAGTCATTGACCAAGGCTAAAGAAAGGTTCAGCTGCTTAAATAAAATCTGTTCAGTGTTTGTGTCAATGGAAAGCTTTAATTAACAGAAGTATAAACAGTAAACTTCATTGTAGCCTCATGTAGAGCAGATGAGAGAAAACAGTGAGCTTGCTACCTCTAGTGATGTTGACTGAGAAAAGTAAAAAATGCTGGATCTCACATTTCCCTTACCACAACTTAGACTTGGACATGGATTGTCAATTTGAAAGAGTCAAATGTAATTTTTTTTGTTATCCAGCTGGACAGTTTAAATAAAAAAACAGAAAAGAAAATGCAAGAAAATTAACCTCAAGCGTGTGTGTGTGTGTGTGTGTGTGTGTGTGTGTGTGTGTGGGTGTGTGTGTGTGTGTGTGTGTGTGTGTGTGTGTGTGTGTGTGTGTGTGTGTGTGTGTGTGTGTGTGTGTGTGTGTGTGTGTGTGTGTGTGTGTGTGTGTGTGTGTGTGTGTGTGTGTGTGTGTGTGTGTCATTTTTTTAGGGAAGTACAGAAACGTGCCCAGGGGAGAAAACGCCTTGGCAAGAAAAACTTTAAGAAGAGGTGGCTCAGTGTGACCAACAGGGAGCTTTCCTACCGCAAACATAAAGGTGAGACCAGTTTCATACTCCAGAAAAATATATTTGCATCTGGAGCTTAATCCAACATAAAACTAACAGGAGATGGCTGGATGTAGTGCTTTCTATCAGTCTCATGCTTAATACTATCACCAGACGGTGCCACAGTAAAGAGCTACACATCGTGCAGGTGCAACTATTTTATTTGCCAAAAGTTGGGTTGGACATAAATATTAAAAGCCACAGAAGTGATAACAATTGGGTCACTATCACACTTAGTTAAATTTTAAAGGAGACCTATTATGCTTTTCAATATTTTATGACTTATCTACAATGTTGGATGTTCACGTTAAACATAGCCAAAGCTTCAAATAAAGAGGTTAAAGTATTTAAAAGAAATCCCTGTGAGCAAAAACCTAAGATTTCCTCCTGTTCTGAACGCTCTGTTTTGAACTCCTTTTTCTACCAACGGCTCCGTTCTATGACATACGAGCTAGACTGAGCCGGTAAGCCTGGTAACATGCTTCAGGTCTTGGCCAATCAGAAGACAGTGGGCTTTGACAGGGGGGCCTTAAAGAGACAGGAGTATCTACAGCTTGTTCAGAGAGAGGCTGAAATGAAGGCCTACATGAAGAGCCAGTATAAGACAGACAATTCTTTTTTTGAACTTTGAATCATGCAAAGCTGCCATACAGGAGTCACAGAGCTACAATATAGGACTGGAAAAGCAGTATAATATGTCTCTTAAAACAGGTCAGATGCGCTGCATAATTAACCTACATTTTAATCGCCGCCTTCACGATTAGCTAATAGTGATTAATCGTTCAGCCCCACTGGAAAGTCAGTGGAAGTTGAAATGACATTTTGTTTTATGACATATTTGTGAATAAACTTTCTGTAGCACTACACCAAAAACAAAGGAAGTACTGAGATTAGTGCATTTACCTTGTTGACCTCCACGTTGTCACCTTCCTTTAGTTTTATGGGGTCTATCTCACATGTCTTGTTGGATTCACAAATCTATGAAAGGTTAAGAGGACAAAAAGCCGCGTTTCAACGAAAAGTACGGATCTCTTTTCGAGGAACTAAAAGGTTCCTTCAGCCCATTGTTGTGTGCGTTTCCACCGGAAGATTAGGCAAATTAACCAGCTAACGTAAGCCTATACTGCGTACAAAGCGATGCACAGGCATCATTAGCCTATTTAGAAACTACTATCCATGAGAAAAATTTATAAATGAACGTCAGATTTGACTGGAATATAATGAAAAACTATAGACCATTACAACAGCGTTTATGTGTGGGAGTATAATGGAGAGACACGCGATAAAGAAACACACAAAAATGAAATTGCGACAGTTTGGAAGGTTATTAAAACATTTCTAGCCAACAAGCAGATGAGCTTGCAGCACTCACGTCTGTGCACGCCTGAGCATCAGTGGAACGGGATTTTTAATGAGCTTTATTACCTGCTGTAATCAGCTGGTCCGCTTGTTTTGGAGAAGAGGTGATCAACTTCAGCTCTGTGTAAAAACTTCCTTACTGATGAAAACTTAAAACAACAACTCTGGGCCCTGTATTGCTACATCAGCTGTTCTCTGTAAACACACCGCTGCACGCTGGCTGATATTTTCGAGCCATACAAAGTATCGGTACTTTCGGACAGTACTACCCCCCCCGAGCAGGGATTTTTTTTGAGGGGGGTCCCTTCGGTGGAAACGCAGTGAGTTCCTCCAGACGTTCCTAGTTCCGGGGTTATAATTCCTTTGGAGGGCTTAAGGAAAAGGTCAGTGTTATGTTGTAGCTAGATTTATTAGAAAGGAAGGAAGTGATGATAAATTAGAGTAATTGTCGTTGTCTGACTACCATTTGTGGTGTCTAGATGTGCCAGGCTGAACTTGTGTAACTATTTGACTGCTTACAACAAACACAAACTCTAGATAAAGAATTGACGTGAAGTAAGTTTATGCGATCAAAAACACTTTACATTGACAGATTGTCAGCATCAGCAGTTTGACATTTGAGGGTCTGACCCATCTCCTAATGACTTCTCCATCTTGATCTTTTACAAAATTGGCATTAAGAGTAAAAACTATATTTCAGCTTGCATACAGACCTTTGGATTAGCTTTTGTTTAGCACACACACACACACACACACACACCTGTCCTTGTGGGGATATCTCATTGATAATTTATTAGCCAGCCCCTTACCCTAACCTTAACCATCACAACCACACGCCTAACCTGAACCCTAAAACCAAGTCTTGACCCTCAAAACCCGTAACTCTTCTGACTGTTGCAGTGTATTATTATTCTTGACACACATTTGACAGAATGACTCCTGCTTTCCAGGGAAAGAGGCCCTCTGCATCATCAATGTCAAAAATATCCAGGCAGTGGAGAAACTGGATGAAAGTGCCTTTAACCGCAAAAACGTAAGCCAAATTCCCCTCATACACACAATGATCACTTCTAAAATATGGCCCCTTTGTGATGAAAACTTTAATCCCAAAGCCAGTTCCCCAAGTTGAAACAAACAAATGGTGTAATATTGTATTGGTAGTCTCATTTGTTGACCTTCTGCTAAATGATTGTATATTTGCATGAAAAACCTTGAAATAATAGCAAATTTCTCCTGAAAATCTTGTCAAGTTTAATGTGGGGATAAAAGTTAATCTCGGGTAGTTACAGGTGGAATGAAACAGGAATAGCACATCTCAAGGGCTGCTCTCATTGTAAGCATTGACAGACCTGTTTGTTAGTCTTTTACGTCACACTGTAGGATGTGGAAAGTGCCCTGGAAACGACCTGGAAAATTATGAATGGCAACACTGTTGTGACTTGGCTCCTAACCTCTTCTTTGTTTCTCTTGTGTCAGATGTTTCAGGTGGTCCATTCCGAGAAGCCTCTGTACGTGCAAGCTGGAAACTGTGTAGAGGCAAGCGAGTGGTTGGAGGTCCTGGGCCAGGTCATTCGCTGCAACGAGGGACGCCTGGCCACCTTCCATCCGTCAAATTACACCAGTGGAGCCTGGCAGTGCTGCAAAAGCCAGAGTAGCAGCGCAGCAGGCTGTAAACCCTGCACAATGTGAGTCAACACCATCGTCACCACCAGGACAATAAAAATAGCATCTATAACGTATCCAATATTGTTGCTGCTGTTGACAGTACTACTGATCACAGTAAACGCATAATAAAATTGCTCACCACTGTGTTGAAACTCTGCCACCGGTGGTAAATATGACCAACCAAGTAGATGCTTACTCCAAGATGAGAGCTGTGACTCATGAAAACCTGCATGTTGTGTAGAAAGAGTAGATTTGAGAACTCAAAGATATAAACTCTCTAAAATGGCAAAATACAAAACCCAGCTTGATTTGAGAACATAAAATAACTTGGAAATGCTCAGCAGACCTTTACTTTGGAAAGGGGTATTTGGCCTTTTTGATGATTTCAACCTACTATTCCACCTCTGGATTTCTTCTTTCCACAGACCTTTGCACATTACACAATTGTGCAGCAGTGTTACAAAAAACTCAATGAAACAAAATGTCTCAGGCAAAGCTGGCAACAAATTCTTGTTGCTCCTTTAGTTAAACAGATCATTTATTATTTGTGCAGTAGACTAATGTACTGTAGCTGTTTGACCACACTAAATATTCACTTTTTCCTAAATCTGAATAGAAACTTCAGCCACACTTCTACTGTTTATTCTGCCACTGTGTGCTCTGCAGGTTAAAGAACATCAGTGTGATGACAGGTTGTTCACTGGGCTGAGCTGGATGTAAATATTGTATATCCTCCTTTTCTCTCTGCTTTCCTCTCCTGGATGAGATCTTTTTACACTTTCGTGCTCTCCTATTTCAGCACCGTGCTGGCGAACCTGCAGCTGGACATAGACTGTGACCGGGAAACGGAGAGAATTTTCTCCCTCCTCTCCTCAAACGACACCAAGCTCCAGGACATGGAGGGTCAGTGCTTTTGTTCATTAAACACAGTGTGTGTTTATTAGAGTGCACATGATTTCATGAATACACTTGTCGCAAAAAACACTATTGGATTCCTGGAGCATTACATGGTTGTTAGAGAGTTTTTTCTATGTGACTAAGTGGGACAACATTTTTTGAAATTGGTCCAGTTTTGAGCGATTGCACTGCAGTCGGCAGCAACGAAAAACGGCTTGTGGGCAAGTGCGTGCCGTCAAAGTACCTCTACTAAGGGGCTTGTTTTTGCCCTGACAGGCTCAGATTGTTGTTACAAGTGTCTGACAAAATTGTGGGAAGGATCCCTAGAGAGAGAGACCTTATTTTTAAAGAGTAAGATCCTTTTTGTTAAACCAGAAACAGACACTATATGGCTGTCATCAGTCTCCCTTGACAAAAAAATAATAATTTTACCTCTCTGGTCTACCGCTGCCTCGATCGGTTGTTTGTGTAACTGTGTGAATGTGGTGTCTTCAACTCTTTAAAACATCAGTAATGCATTAACACAAACAAACTTATTAACCTTGGCAGCGGTAGACCAGCAGCTTCTGTGATCTACAAGTTAAAATTCCTTTTTTTTTTTTTTTTTTATCAATGGAGTCTGGTGGCTTTGTTCAGGAGCGAGAAAGTGACTTTTTCTGATTTAAAAAAAATGCCCATCTCTTTAGAGATCCTTTCCCTCAGCACATTTACAGTAATGCTAATTAATGTGTGCTGTCCTTAAAAATAAAAATAATCTTCTAGGGATCCTTTCCATGTTGTCAGACACTGATAATAACAATCTGAGCTTGTTTTTAGCTTTGAGCAAAAACAAGCCCTTTAGTGGACGTTCTTTGACAAGGCGTAATTGCCCGTAAGGATTACGTTGTTTAGCTGCAGCTGACTGCAGCCTGCTCGCTCCATACTTGACCAGTTTCAAATAATGTTGTCCCAATTAGTCACACAGACAAAAGAAAACTTAGGTTGAGGTTGTATTATGTTATATTTTGTATAACATATAATTTATATAACTGGAATTGGTCACCAAAACATTGTGAAACCTCACAATGCCCCTATCAGCTCTCTTCACTTTTCAGATGAACAATCAAGTCCAACACTATGATGCCTTCCCGGAGAGAGAGACTTGATTTCCGATGTGGTCGGAAAGCAAGAACTAGTTCTGTTCGAGTATAAACTGGCCCTTAAGCTGCGCTGTAATAATGATGTGTTCCTCCCTGTAGATGCATGTGCGAGTATGGCAGTTTACCAGGGCCCTCAGCGGGAGCAGGAGGAATACTCAAAGTTCACCATTCAGGAACCCAAAGAGACCTTTCAGACACTCAAACAGCTCCGAAACGTCATGGAGGAACTTCAGAGGCAACACAACATCAGGAGTGACACCACAGCACAGTACGGGAGCCTGTAAGTCTGCACAGGTGTCGCTTCATGTTACATTTGTACTGCAATACACATAAAAACATTACTCACTTTGTCATCCTTTGTGTTTCAGGGACAACCCCATAGTAGGGAAAACCTCTTAACCAGGGCGTGGAGGTGTGGCCTGAAACAGCCATACCAGCAGGTGCCAGTACTACACAGAGAGCCTAAACTGTCCTAAAGGAGCCCTGGGGTCTGTCACCCAGCGGGGAACGCCCACTGTCTGTCCCGGTGAAGAACAAATGAATACACCCTGACCTCTAGGCATCATGAGTCCACTACAGTAGTGACAGCCTAAGAACGGGAACCAGGCTAGCTCTTGAGCTTTTCCAGGATCTCTTCTTCTAAATGAACAAATCCCTTAGGTGTTGTTTTCTTTGGCAGTACGTCGCCTCCCTTCCTCTGCTTTGCAGGCCCCTTTTATAAAGAGACGTTTTTCCTAGTCTTAATTTATGTCCTTTTTTTACGTCCACATTTCTGTGAAAAAGGCATCATTAGATGGTGTGTGAATAGGCTGCTAATTATTTTTATTCACCCAGTTTTATATCAACAGCTGTGATGATGCTCTCCCAAATTTTTTTTGAGGTTTTGCGCTGACATCTGTCTTTCAAGTTGATTGATTTTAATCATCTCTCTGGAGGATTGTCCTCTATGTGTGTCCCTCTTATCTTTCTCTACTCGTTTAGTGTCCTTCCTCTTCTGAACAAATGTTAAGTATATATTTTTTCAGAGGACAGTTGAGTAGATGAAACCAATATGCCTTACTTTGATGGATGTTTCTTTCACATTAAATGCTGAGGGAATAATGCAGAAGCACTTTAAATATTTGGAGCACTCCAAATGGAAATGATTAGATACTTGGTATCGGCTTTCCCCATTTTGATCAGTTACATGATCTTGAGTACATTTTGTTTTGTTTCATTCCTGTACAATGACATTTATAGCCTGTAGATTTTAAAATATTTTCCTCAACCAAAGACGATTTCATAGGTTTGACTTGAAAAAAGAATTATGTATTTTGAATACAAATGTTTTAAAAATGGAAACAAATTATATGTGTGTGTGTGTGTGTGTGTGTGTGTGTGTGTGTGGTTTCATATCATTTACTTTTTAGTGACTTAAGGCAAGCAGACTGCATGCGTTTTGAGTCCTGATAGCACATGATTGTGGTGTAGAGTTATATTTCCCTGTGATTGTGAATCGTATTGGTACGGTGTACATCAGATCTGTGTTGTCATGTTCAGAGCATCGCAACATCTATAGTGGCTTATGTAAGAACTGATGGAGAAGAGTCGATCAGAATAACAATAAATCTAACTAAATTAATCCAGACAATCGCAGCAATCAACAAACACCTTTATTCTTTTTTTTCTTCTTCCAACCAGCAGCACTCGGCAGCTCCAGCTGTTGGACCTGATGGTTTTAGAGAATGTGGTTTAAAGTTTCCCACAGCTGTTAGGTGTAGCTCTCCACTGCCAGAACAGTCAAGAAAAGTCTGTGTATTAAATTATTAAACAAGTTTTAATAGATCAATCATTGATAATGATAAAACACATTATTACACTCATATCACACATTTTTATCAGAAGGTAGTAGGGCTGCATCTGATCAATACAGTAATAGAAAGTAGTATATATTAAAAAAATAAATAAAATTATAAATGCTTATCTCAAGTTATCAGAGCAGAACACAAATTTACATTTTCAGTTTATGATATAAAACTGATACAAGCAACCAAATCCTCACAATTTAAACTACTCACCAGCAAATTTTAAATTATTTTGCTGTCAGTAGACTTATCGGTTAATCCGAGAAATCTGATGAACAGTCAGACTTTGATTCAATCCTGGTTTTGTCTTTTTGTTTTTAGCCCATTTGAACAATGAAGTGTTGAAAAGATACAAAAGAAACTTGAATTTATTTTAACAAAAGTTGAACATTTTAACGCTGACAATGCAGCGTTAAGTGTATTTTTCTTTGTGTGTGGAAATAAGTTGTTTTCAGAAGTTGTGTCTTTGGTCCTTCATATGTTTCTAACATGCATGTCTTGTGTATTTAACAATATATTTTTCTAGTAAAGGTTTGTTTGTTTGGTTTTTTTTTTTAAACACTGATTTAATGTGTTGCTATATTGGTATGGTACCTTGTTCTTTGTCCGCTTTTGTTTGTATCCCTGAGTTGTTCCCTTCACAGACTGTATGTGGTTGTAGATGCTGCCAAACCTCCATTTGTTGATAGGTTGATGCAGTGTCACTGAAGTGAATATGTGTAATGTCCCACCAGCTGCAGCTGGCTCTGTGTTCACATGCACGCTGTAAGTGAATGAACTGTCTAATCAGAGCCAAAATACAATTGTATAAAATTATTGATTTTCAGAAATTGATCATTGGATCAACTTTCTCTCTGCTTGTGAAAGTTTTTCAGAAAAAAAAAATAGTCGGGCCAAATTTCCAAAACAATATGTGGGATTAAATCTTAACTAATCAAAGCATAAAGTTGTTTTCTATACTTTTATTAGCTTGCATGTCAACTCCATTGCTAGTTTTAATAAAGGCCAGTAAACTGGCAGTTAATGTTCTCTGGTAGTGCGCTCACTTTCGTATGAAGATGAATATATTTTGGTTTATTTGCTTCTAATAAGGGAATTTTCTCGATTTGTTATTTCTTGTCCGCACATTATCCTAAAACAAAAATAGTTCTTGTCATGATGTGGAAACGCATGCAGTGTTGGACTGTGGCCAGTTTCATATTGTAATTTTACCAAACTGAAAGGGACACGTTCATATGTGCTTTGAAATATCATATGAATCACATCAATCAAGGTAGTAGCCAGCTTGTACATCTAACGTGTGTTTCATAGCTTTTCATTTTAATTACGGAAATGACAAAAGTCCAGGTTTATGAAAGAACAAGAAATTGATTTCAGTTTACTCTCTACGGGAATAAAATTTCAAAACAATGTTTTCTTTTCAGTGTGTGCTATAAGAGACTAGATCGATAAACACTCTGTGTGGAGGCTTCATGGGCTGCTGTTCAGTGCTGCAGACACATCTGTCACTTCTTCTGAATGTCTCCATACTGTTTTAGTACTGTTTTAACAGTTGTCTTCATTTTTATACACATTAAATATTTTATTTTCCATACATGGTCTTTTCTGTGTCCATTTGAAACAATTTACAATAAACACTTTGCCAATGCTTCTCTGGTTTGTGTAGTATCTATGCCTGCATTGCAAAACCCAAATATCAAGAATTCACTTTATTATATTTTAAGGGCCAAGACAAAGTTGAGTTTTATATTTCATGGGAGCATGCACTTTATGAAAGGCACGATGGATTCTGTTAGGGCAGAAGAGCAAAGCATTAACAGAGGGCTGGGTTATTGGATTTAGAAACAACTATACATGTTGAAGAGCTAATGAACACAAAGGTATTCGATCATGCTTAAGTTAAATCAACCATGTTGAGTCATAATGCAACCTGCAGTGATGTTTTCGTGCTAGGTTGGCCCCGCATTTTTCTTCAGCAACCCAGCTGCTTTAAAGTAAACAAGCTGCACTTCAAAGAAAAAGCTGTCCATAGAGTACATACATGTGATACATAATTTGTAGGAATGTTGGCAACATGATGGAGGTTTGATTGAAATTCAATAACATGACAATATTGGCCTATGATTGTGCAACCCTCTAAGCTTTGTGTGAAATGAATTATAATATTATAAATCATCTGTACCTACAGCTACACAAAACCTCTTACCTTTTCTCTGATTCAGTCAGGATTAAACTGATGAACCATAACTTTTATAAGCTGCAGGAGGAAAAACATGTACCCAGAATCTAGAATAATCTCATCTTCCACATTGCTTGACGTTTGATCCATTTGTAGGGAAGATGGAGGAAAATGATATAGAAACTATATGTGACAGGGCAAATATTTGTATGCTCAATGATAACATAATCGGAGACCTCCGGTGGAGGGAGCAGCTCATTTCTCATGATAACACTCATTTGTCTCATCCACACCCTAGGGTAAAGAGGCATGCATTTCAAAACTGTAATAATGGCTGACATAGTGACTATGTTATGTGCTCTACTCTGTCATGGGTGTAGTGAAAGGCTCAGCCCTTCATACAACCACATGGCTGCTTTTAAAAAGAAACTGAAATTGCAAGTCGGTTTTATTTTGTAATCTGTTGGTGTTTGGTTTTAAATCTGCTCACTGCGTTGAAGCAGCTTCTCTCAGCCTTGACACTTTTGAAGTTTGTGACTTTTTTGCCATGCAGCTCTAGAGGATGGAAATGTTGGTTAGTTGGTTTCATCACTTTGCTCCAGACTGAAATATCTATTGGATGAAATTTGGTATCATATTCATGTCCACCTCAGGATGATTTGTGTAGCTGTTGAGTGCATTAGTTGTTAGCATGCTAACAAATTAAATTAAGATGGTGACAATGGTAAACATGATACTCGCACTCTCTTCAGCATGTTAGCATTGTCATTGTGAGCATGTTAGCATACTAGTATTAGTGATTATTTGAAAGCACCGCCTTGCTTAAGTAAAGCTTTCTGTTGGGGTGGCAGTGGAGTGTTCTGTTTATTTCTCATTTTTTCCCACCATTCTGTTTAACTGTGTTTTGCCTGCCTCTCTGTATCTCCCCCACTTCCCCTGTGTGTGCTCTCCCTCTCTCTCTCCGCTCCGTCTGGTGCTGCAGCGGCTTCTGGAGAACAGGCTCTTCGTCAAGGTAGAAAATTCGAGTTTCATGCTCCCACTGTCCAGTTCCTCGACTTTGTGATCGAGAAAGGGTGGTTCTGTGCCAACCCATCTAAGATACAGGCAGTCGCCGACTGGCCAACCCCCACCTCTGTTAAGCAGTTGCAGCGTTTCCTTGGTTTTGCGAACTTTTACCGCCGGTTCATTTGCAACTACAGCACCCTCACCCGTCTCACCTCCACTTCGGTTCCCTTCACCTGGTCTCCAGAGGCCGCTGCAGCCTTCACCCGTCTCAAAACCCTGTTAACCTCCCACCAAGCCCGGTGGGCTCTGTTTTTCAACCGGTTCAACTTCACCCTCTCCTACCGCCCTGGATCCTGTAACACCAAACCAGACGCTCTCTCCCAACTGCACTCCTTGGACACTCGTTCAGACTCCACCTGCCACGTTCCTGTCTCGTCGCCTCCGTGGTCTGGGAGGTGGAGTCCGCCATTCGCCGAGCCCAGTCCACCGACCCTGGCACCAGTCCCCAGAATCGCCTCTACGTCTCGTTGAGTATCCGCTCCCGGGTCCTCCAGTGGGCGCACGCCTCCAGGTTCAGCTGCCACCCCGGGATGGCCCGCACCCTCTTCCTGCTGCGCCAAAGGTTCTGGTGGCCATCCATAGACAAAGACTGTTGGCCACCGAACCCCGGCTTCCACCTATCGGCCTGGACAGCAAGTTTGGCTCTCCTCCATGGACCTCCCTCTGCCGACCTCCTCCAAGATACTCGCCCCCCCCGGTGAATTGGTCCTTACCCCATCGAGGCCGTCATCAATCCCTCTGCTATTCCCTGACTCTCTTGCCTCACATGAAGGTCCACCCAGTCTTCCACGTTTCCAGGGTCAAATGCGTCTCCACCAGCACCCTCCATACCAGTAGCAGCACCTCCCCCTCTACGGATGGTGGATGGTCACCCCACCTACACGGTGCGTCGCCTCATGGATGTGCAAAATAGGCCCGGAGGAGCGATCCTGGATCCCCGCCAGCCAAATTCTAGACAAATCCCTCCTGACCGACTTCTACAGAGCCCATCCCGACAAACTGGGAGGTCAGCCTGGAGGCATCTGTTGAGGGGGGGACCTGTTGTGGTGGCAGCCCGGCTGACGGTGAGTGTCCTGTTTATTTCTCATTTTTCCCCACCATTCTGTTTTCCTCTGTGTTTCGCCTGCCTCTCTGTGTCTCCTCTGCTCCCCCTGCATGTGTTCTCCATCTCTCTCTCCGCTCCTGAGCCCAGCTGACAGTCCACACCTGCACCTCATCAGCGACCTCCTCTGCCTGCCACACCTGCCAGCAATCAACTCCATCTCTGCCAGTATATCAACCCCGGTTCTACACACAGTCTCCGCTTGATTGTCTTTGCTCCTGACCTGGTGCCACTGCATTACTCAAGCCTCTTTGAATCCTGCAAAACCCCTGTTTCCCCGTTCTCTGTTTTCCCTGTAATTAACCCTGTGTGTCTGCCTTTCCCCAGGTTCACTCACCTCCGTCCACCGTTGTGTCAGCTGGGCTCGCCTACCTGCCCTCTCCCCTCAGGTGTCCTCCACGGCGTCCTCCCAGCTCCCCCTTGCTCCTCGCCAGTCTGTCTGCCACCACACCCCTTCACTCACCTCTCCGGTTAGTTCTCCGGTGCCTCCTCCATGCCCCGTCCCCCGCCGTCCACCTCTCCTTCATCACCACTCCCTCAGCCCCTCAGCGTTGCGTTTGTGTCCGTTCTGTCAAGCTCATAACATTTTCTTTGTCTTTGCTAAAAAAAAACAAAGACAAGGAAAACACTGCTACAGCAGTCGCCTGAGTGGTATCCATCTTCTCATTAAACTCTCAGCCAGGAAGCTTAAGTGTATTGCCCAAAATGTCTATTCTATAACTATTCCTCTAATTCCACAGTGTGCAGGAAATGTCTGTAAGATCTGGTGAGTCAGAGGAAGAACAGTTACAATGCCCAATGGAAATAATAAATAACAAAGATGAAAGAAGTGAAAGATGATGAAGAATTATCAGAGCCCATCTGGACAGAATCAATCACTCAACAGCATGTATCAGTAGACTACAGACTCTACCATACTTTACGGTACATTACATTCATGCCTCCTCTGATCGGTAATTCAGCATTTGAGCCTTCTCACTCTCTCTCTTTTAGGAGCTCAGTATGTTGTCTTTGTTTTTTTTTAGAAATGCCACTATTGAGAATGTTGGGCTTGTGCTTTCACCTCAGGCTTGTTCTCATTCGTCACTGTCAGCATCATTATATGTGGCAACATTTGGGCCCGCAAGCTGTCTTCACTCTTATTAGGAGGGAATACAGTTTTAAAAGTCTCTGTGAAAGGAAAATATTTGTGTTTCAAGGGTCAAATTTATACCACAGCATGACACGTCTTCTTGTTACAAGAGTACAAAGCTTTGTCTGTAAAGGAAAACAGCCTCTCAAAAATGGCTATTAAAAGATTAATGCAGAATACACACATGATACTGAGGCATGCTGCTTTCTGATCCCTGAAGCCTGTGGACAGTCCTTACTGTGTACAAATGCATGTATTTCTACTGCTTGTGCATGAACTTCCTGTTCCCTGTTCCCTGCAGCTACCTTAAAGGGTCAGGTCACAAAAAAATCACACACATTTTCCCTGTAGAAGTGTGTAGTTGTGCAGATTGTGAAGATTTTATGTGCAACAGTTTATGAGATATCTGCCTGTGGATCTTCTGCCTCTACCCCATGAACAACAGAGGTGAATAGGATTCTGTTTGTGCCTCTCAAAGCAGCAAAATGTGATGTCCTGGTCACTCTGTATAATTCATTAACTTTGCTGTGAAATGTTCTATTTTGGACTATTTTTATGTAGATCTCTAGAAAGAGATGTGAGACAGGAACCTTTCGCGTTATCGAGGTGTTTACAGAGTCATATGTGGGGACTCGCCTTCCTTATGGGGACAAAATGCAAGTCCCAGTGACGTTTATCACTGAATTGTAGGGTGAAGACTTGGCTAAAGGTTAGGGTAAGGTTAAAGCTATAGGGTAAGTGCATGTGGACTGGCATATGCTAATTTCGGGACACATTGCAGAGTAAAGACTAGTTGGTTGGGGATGGCTTGTCCAGTTGGGGAAAACTGGGCAAAAGTAGTGTCCCCCAGTAGGGAAAAAGCTTATAATAGGGCCAGTGGTTAAGGTTAGGGTTAGGCACATTGTGGTTAGGGTTAGTGTAAGTGTCCAGGAAATGAGTGCTAGAAGTCCAAGATAACATTTGTGTGTGTGTAGAAAACATTAGTAATTTTCACTTTACGTATTAAGACACAGTTATTGTTGATTGTTTAAATAAATGTGCAAGTTGGTGTTGTCAGCTCTCTTACTTAAAATGTGTTGGAGCTGTTTATATATGGACTTAAAATCTACTGTGCCTGTATGAAATCTATCATAATATTAACTTGAAACAGATGGTGTGTCCTCCACGGAG